AGGTCGGAATCGATGCTTACAAACTGAGATGTGTTCTTAGCTAACAAACAGACAAAATGAAAGAACGAAGTTGCTTGACTAAATGAGTTCAATTTAACTAGTTCATTTAAAGAGTGAAGGTCAGCCCATCGACGTTGAATACTGATGAAGCTGTAGGCTAATGGATCCTTTGGATTTATTTATCACCAAAACTTCATAATAATACACTTAAGTAACAAAGAATCTCATATGAAACAAAAAAGTTGGCAGTAGTAGATTTAGGATCATTTTTGGAATATTTCTGAACACACTATAAGGTGAACTAAGATCAAATGAAGAATGATTACAACTGACTTAGACACCTAGACATATGTTTGAGTTGGAGAGAGTATGGCTCAGTAATGCGATAGATATATATATCGAAAGCCCACTTATATTATTATTATTATTATTAATCCCTTGGGTTCCGAGTGGAACATAGGGCTTCAAGAACACATCTTCACTTTGTTCTGTTTTCTCCTGTCCTCTTCAACTAGGTCCACGATCGCCCACAATCCCTCATCTCCTCCTCACACGATCTCCTCCATGTCACTCTCGTACTGACGACCCACTCGTCGCTTCCCATTGCGATTCCACTCGAGTGATTGCCTGGAGCTCGATGTCATTCGACGGTCTCCTTAATGCATGCCCGATCCATCTCCATTTTCTCCTGCATATTTGTTGAGCAATCGGCTCTTGGTTGGTTTGTTCCCACAGTTTCTTGTTACTAATTCTTTCTGGCCAGCTGGCCATTTGATCTTCAGTATGGAGCCAGCGAGGGTAGCTGTTGGTGAAAGTCTGCAGTGACCTGTTGAAAACCCTTTTCGTCACACGCTGGCCAAGTTTCTGACTTGTAAAGAAGGACTGACTTGACACCGATGTTGAAAATGCGAATCTCATTCTATATGGTGAGTCAGTGCAGAAGATCTCGAAACTGGTTTCAGGTTCGTGAAGGCGTGCGTATCTTGCCATTCCGATTCTGGCCAGCTTTGACATCTTCATCCGTTCCGAATTCCTGTAGTTGAAATAATGCTTCCCAGATAAGTGAAGGGGGTGACCTCTTTTTAAATTTTCATAATTTCTATCCAATACAATATAAGATAGACTTGGTTAGATGTTTATTTAAGAGGATTTGACACACCTGTACAGCTGATGCCATGGCTGATGAAGATAAATTCCTGATGGATAAGCTTATTGAAAACCCATATACTTTTAAGTTTTGAACTGACGTTGATAAGTTTAAAGCGTACAGTCTGTTCTATTCCAAAGGAAGATGTCTACATCAAATAATCTTACAATGGAGAAATAAGTAGGGAGATTAAAGCCCATCATCCATAAAACCTACTATGGAGTCTGGTTTATAATTATCAAAAAAAACAGAAAACAAGTGACTATGTCACATCCCATATAGTATACCAGTTTACATGAGTGTGTCGGCGCATACATATTGGAAAGAGTAATCAACCCTCTCAAGCAACGATGGGGGAATATATCCGCAAATGGCCTGGAAAACAGGTGGACGATAAAACCTAGATAAACGCTAGAGGCATTGAAAAGGCATTCGACAGCGTCGATTGAGAGGTGCTTTGGAAACTACTTCGCTCCTACGGTGTGCCACCGACAATTATACATCTCATCCAACAGCTGTGCGACAATGTTGCATGCCAAGTAATCAACAACGGGAAACTTACGGAATCCTTCGAAGTGAAGACGGGAGTAAGACAAGGCTGGCTGGCTGCCTACTATGTCCAATGATTTTTCCTGATTGCTGTAGACTGGATAATGTGACAGACAGCGGGCAGCGAGGAAATAGGCATAAAATGGACCCACACAAAAAACTTGGAGGATCTGGACTTCACCGATGATATATGTCTGATTTCTCACAAACTGGAAGATATGCAAGTGAAAAGCAACAAGTTGGCAGAAGAAGCATCCAGAGAAGATAGGACTTCAGGTGAACATAGAGAAAACTGAGTTGATGAACTGACGAGGATATCAAAGCAAGAATCGGAAAAGCAAGACAAGATTTCACTACTCTCAAGTCTGTGTGGAGGTCAACACTCAGCACTCAGTATCAAAAATAAGATCCGGATTTTCAACTCCAATGTGAAGTCAGTGCTACTATACGGATCACAGACTTGCACTGCGCGTCATAAAGAGCATCTCAAACAAACTACAGACCTTCATTAACAGTTGTCTTCGCTCAATACTCAAGATCAGATGGCCTGCCAGAAAAGATCAGCAACAGAGATCTCTGGGAGCGAACCAACACAGCAGGAACCGATTGTGAAACAAATAGGCAGGAAGAAATGGAGATGGATTGGCTGGCCATACTCTGAGGAAACCATCAAGTGACATCACTAGACAAGCCATTGCTCGAGTGGAACCCGAGTGGGAAGCGGTGAGTTGGTCGTCAGTGCAAGGTGAGGGTGACTTGGAGGAGGTCATGTGAAGAGGAGATGAAAACGTGTGGGCAGACTTGGAGCCAGGTGAAAACTCTAGCAGAGAACCGAACGCAATGGAGACGCGCGGCTGAAGCCCTATGTTCCTCTAGGAATTAAAGGGAATAATAATATAATAATAAACGGTAGTGGCAGACTAACAACCTCGTCTGTAACTAAATATAACGTGTACGAATCTTAAAACTTATCCGAAAATAGCTTTCAAGATTATACATAGAAAAACCATTAGGGGTGTATACTGAAGCACTCGGACGAGATAACCATGTGTAAAAATAAAACAGCTCACTCCACTCTGGCATTTGCCTCTTTCGAGTTTGATCATGAGCTGGAATCAGCTAGAGAACGATAGAAAACCAGGAAGTTCAGGACAGCTGTTTTGGACTCTTCAGTTGTAGTCACCCATGGTTCTAGCGGGGATTAAACCTATGACCTTCAGGCTACAAGATGAGCTTGTTGATCAATCAACCACTGGGACGGGATCTAATGACATAAATCTTAACTTCCACCAATCAGCGATTTTAGCGCCACAACTAGCCTGTGTTATTGGTAAGTGTATGTCCTCACATCCGACTTAGTGGACCCCACGTGTCACGACTTCTTACTAGTACCCCAGGCAACTTCGTCCTGTATCCCGCCACCAATAGGTATCAGACTAGTACTTCCAAGAATTTGACTTAGTTAGAATCCAACGGCCGTTGGATTCTGTCCTAGTGGCTGACAGTTTAATAAACTCGCCTCGTAACCTGAAGGGCCCTGGTCGGTGGGATTATGGGTGCAGGCTGATGAAGAGTCCCAAACAAGGACAAAACAGCTATCCGATACTCCCTCGTTTTCAGTGGTTTTCTAGCTGATATTAATCCGTAATCAGACTTGAATTTATTATTACCCATAAACTCACCTTGGTAATCTTTATCTTAGTATATTTTCAAGACTGGTGCTAATTATTATCGTTCTTATTCTTAAATCCCCTATCATTTCATTTATTTTAATTGGCCTTTCATTTTTCTAATAAATTTGTTCCACAAATAAATATGTGCGTTACGACCCAAATCAACTCGTTGCTATCTGAGCTCAGCAAACTGATCTCTGCATCTTACTGTTTAGCTGATGAAAATTCTTCGAGGCACACTCAGTCAAGAAACGCTCTAAAGACAGCTAAAAGGCAATTATTAGTTGCAACAGTCTGTGGTTCTATTCAATAAAAATAACATCTGAAACTAAAAATAACCTCCCCTAGTTAACTCCCTTGCTAGTTTTCTACCCGGTCCCAAACTCGGGTAAAGAGGGAGGGTTGGGCGTGGGACTAGCAACCCTACACCACTAAATCGAGAGAACAATCCTAGTCTTTGCATGCAAAAGAAGTTTGTTCTACCTTTGTCTCTCCCTTGCTTGTCTCGGTAAATTCCAATCAACCACCCATCCATACACCCTTTCTTATTTTCCATTTCCTTCGTACTTTTATGATATTTTTTACGAGTTGATCACGGACTGATATCAGTTAGAGAACCATTGAAAACCAGGGAGTACTGGACAGCTGCTGTTTCATCCTAGTTTGGGAATCATCGACAGTACGCACCCACTGGGATTCGAACCCAGGACCTTCCGGTTACAAGGCAAGCTCGTATACCATTCAGCCACTGGGACCCGATTCAATGGCTCATGAATTCTAACTTCTACCAATTCGTGATTTTAGCGCGACTCCAAACTAGGATGAAACAGCAGCTGTCCAGTACTCCCTGATTTTCAATGGTTCTCTAACTGATATCAATCCGTGATCAACTCGTAAAAACAAAACTAATCCTTACAAACCAACTATAGAAAACTATATATTATTGTAGAGCCAGCCGATGATGGGGAACTAATTGAAAAGGAATATATTTCTTCACTCAATCTGTTGTTTTTTCTAAATGCGTAAATGGGAATCTGGAAATTAAAATGAAATATAATGCCACACTGTGATATGCCTAAATAATGCTGTGAAACTGATAAATACATCAATCATGCAGTCAATCTGACTGGTTATTTCACACTAGTTTTCATATTTCTGTCACTTAATTGACTACAGTCAGATGGAATTCTGAATTGCATGCACGTCACTTCGCGTTGGTCTGGCTATTAATGGCTCGAATTCATAAAACAGACTATGATTTGGCTTGCAACAGATGACGTATGTATGCCTTTGATATCATGCTACTCAAAAAAAGAAGAAAAAAACACAATTTGCCTTGATTTCAACATCTTTTCACTTTCCCTGCAATCAAACTGTGTATTGCAGTAATGGAGAAATTACTTTCTGTTGTCATAATATTAACGTAGTTACTGTTTCACGTAGAACGTAAGTAAGCAGCTATTCTGACGAATCAGGTGGATATTAAAAATTTGTTTGTAATAGACAAAACACGTGATGGACTTACATATCTGAAAATGAAAACTTTATTTTGATTGGTGCATCTCTTATGTGTCTTACTGATCTGTCTGTATCTCTAATATTTTCATTGGCTGATTAGAATTTTAACTAGTTTACAAAAAAATGTGACTAGAGTGAATGCCGATAATTCCATTAATAGTTTGAATTCTCTGTCTCATGGCTAACGCGTGGATATTTGTAATTGCCTTATTCCATTTTGTAAATGCACAGCCTTTTAGAGATTGTGGTAAGTTTATTTTTAATCTTCAGTGTATCTATGCTGCTCGCTAATTTAAAGCGATAGTCAATTTTCAATTCTGTTTTTACTCTGTGCAGAGTGAAGATATTGCTCATTGATTAATCACTTGATTTTCAGCCAACAGGTTTCGGATTCGAATCCTGCTTTGTCTAACTTCAAGGATGGACAACTGCAAAGTATCGTTAACCTTTACATAGTAGGTAGTAGGCCTCATGGCCAGGTACATGGAAAATCTGTCCTGGGTAACTGAGTTCTCACTAACATTCTGTTGGCATTTAGTCTACCCATTGCTAAGGAATAATAAGCAAACTGGCCTCATCAACTGTTTTATTCAAATACAGTTGTATCTGTATGCCACTTCAGTTGTTAGCAGTTGAGTAGATGAACATCCACTCTCGACACTATTCTTTACAGCCAGCCAAGAAAGTTTTTTGTGATAAATTTCACTTCGTGTCACATGCTGTATTTATTGTTTGTTCAAAGTTGGAAGGTGATAGAAGATTAAATGGAACACTGATGGAACATAACCATCACCTGAGTTTTATAGGTAAAAGCATGGGGCATAAGTGCACAAGACGCCGCCGAGAATCGAACTTGGGTTGCTGGATTCATAATCCAGTCTGCTGACCGTTACACCACTCGAAGAAATAAGGCCTAACGTTGACTGACGGTATGTATGAATGTAGACTTCAAAGGAGCTAATGCTTTAGGCAAGATCCTGTTAGAGAGCCAGATTCTGTATTAATTCAAAGACTATTACTCTTGTATTGTTAAATGTACTTTAGAAAACTTGAAAGATATACCACTACAGCTAGCGAAATGCAAGAAATGTGCATAGATCATCCAACGAAAGTTTCATTCCTAGACGACCGATTCGAATTGCCTTTTTTCGGTTGTAAAGGAGTAATAGTAGTTCGATAAAAAAAATGGACCTCCTTCAGGTCAATGAATGTGGTGAGTGGTGGGTGCTGAGTTTCAGAGACTGGTGAAGAGTGAAGATCTGATCAATTCACTGTTATCTAGGCCTGAAACCTAGCTTGTTTTCCTGAGTTTCTTTTAACCGAGTCCTGTTTACTCTTTCTATTACTATAGCACCTAGAATTGTATATATTACTTTAATCAAGCTACCCCCTCCCGATTATTATCACAGGAAAATTTTCCTTTTTCTTATGAACTGGGATGAACATGCTGATACAGCTCTCTGTTAGTGACTGACTGATTGACTGGTTTCAACATGGAACTTTGCACAGAAGTGCAACCTTTCGAGTTCGATGTAGCTTCACAACCTCGTTGACTGATGTACCGTCTAAAATCAGTGTTACTCATCATATCACTCCATTTAACACGGTAGCTAGAACACTGATTCCTATGACCAAAGACAGCTAACCTTTTCATTTCTTCCATTTTCGGTAGCCATGTCTCACAGGCATAAAAGAGGATAGTTGAAACTACTGCACATTACACACATCCTTTAGTCGATAGTTGGACGGATATCAAGTCTATACCAGAGATGGTGTAAGTTGGGAAATGCCAGATGACCCGTTTCTTTACGCGGTGAGATTTCGTCAGCGCCCAGTCCGTTGTGTCTAGGGCAACTCTCCAAATAAGTGAAGTGTTCAGCATGCTCAACTACGTTACTCCCAATCTTAAGGCTAGGAGTCGACGTAGTCCAGTCCCGTAGCGTCATCTTACATGTGACAGGAGCAGATCGCATGCTAAACATCCGAAAGTTGCTGCCTAAGCTGTTCACAAGACTTCGCTTAATCAGGCTTTATTTAGGTGGACTATATCATCTACACGTTCTAAGTCAACAAGAATGTTTATAGTCGATAAAGGGAATATAAGCGGACTACAAATGTCGAGGCGATTACTCTTTGTCATTTCCCTGTGGTCATGCAGGAAACTTTTCACTTCAATCTAAAAGTATAACTTCATTTGTTAATTTAGTCGAATATAATTTTATGTCAGGTCGTGTAGTAACTAATATCACTATTGTAATGAAACTCGAGTTTGATTCTGAAAAGTCCACTCTATTCACCTACCTTGTTTTCAGACAACTCACATTTGTCTTATGGGAAGCAGAATTTTTCACATGTTCGATAAATAAACCTTCATATATCAATCTCCCCATCCATCCTTCCACATTGAATTTTAAGACTGTCAACTTGTCTCATTCTATTGTATGGTTGTATGTAACTGCTTATTGTGCTATGGCTGTGCTTTTCTCTACTTCTCTTGTCCTATTAAGGTTTAACTAATCTAGATTTTTCTAGGTTTTGTGCTCTGCTAATTTCTTAGACTCTTGCCCGTGTATTTGACCTCACAGTTATTGCAGTGTGTCACATAAACTAAATTATTTCGTTTAGTGGGCACCACAGGATCTTCCAGCTGACATAATTTGTTTCTCAGATAGTTTGTAGGTTTGTTAAGAATTCTACGCTTCAGAGGTTCAGTCTTCGTATGGAAGCACTAATGATATTTTAAATTTCCTACTGTTCCTGTTGTCATGTTTCCGTGTATTCTTGTCGTTCATGCCGTCCATACTATTATTATTATTTATGTTCTTAGAACTTGCTATATAGTTCCTGTCTAATTTGTCAGTTTAATTACTAAATATCAAAGCATTTCACCAATCCTATTTTCACTGTCACAGGGTGGAATGAACTGAAATCCAAATGTCAGTTTGCACGTGCGTTTAACTTCCCTCCTTCCTTCCTTCCTTTTCATAGTGCCGTCTAACATTCGGAGATCTCCTTTCTAACTTTCCAATGCATAAGTGAATTGAATTGCATCTGTTTTTCAGCTGATGTGTTCGAAAAGCATATTTAAATCTTGTATTTTTAGTACCGTGAATCTGTCATCCACACGTACCCCCACAATACTTCGGGGATGGGTTGGAACGTTTCAGTTGTTAAGTCTCCCCACCTATCCACAAATACATCTGCCACTAATGACGATATCCGTGACCCTATGGCAACTCCCTCAGTTTTCCTAGGGGACTAACAGTCAGGCACAGCTGCACTACTAGCATGATGGCTTCTAGAGTGATACTTTGATTTTAAGTCCAGGTTCGTAATCTATAGCCGAATTTATTGATATTATTATTGTTATTATTGATATTCTGTCGAAATCAACTGTCTTTTTCTTCGCCATCTATTTTGAAATTATCCAATGTATGTTTACGTCCATAAGAATTAGTGAGTCTAGACTTTGGACAGTCCCCAACTGGAATTAACACCATAGCTGAATATCTAGACACTTCGTCAATAAAAGAATTTCTAAACGCAACTGTGGATCTGCCATGATACCCTGGTTAATGAATTTTAACAATACTAGACATCCTACCGAGGTTATTGGTTCAAGGTATCAAATTAAACCACTTAGACTCATCTATAAATGGCTTCATTCAGCGTATTTGGCCCGTTGTGGATTTCTTAACTTGATTAAAAGCAATGTCTACTGTTTTCTTAATTTCTTCATACAGTTTTGTTTGTATGCAAATGCTAACCTTCTTTAAATAGTCTGATTTGCCTAATACAACTTCTGAATTACCTTAAAGTTACTTATTGCTTCCATTTCTGGTTTCGTTAAGTTAACTTTTACCTCGTCTCGGAAGTTTTATTATTAGTGTACACTGTGCCCCTAATTCATTCGCAGTTGTTTGACTTTCTGCTTTCAATGCTAATTCTAATTTTGGAATGATATCCTCAGGTTTCAATTCATCCACTGTTCTAGTGAGATTTTTGTCCAGTTTCCATTACATTTAATTCTGTAGTAATTCACACTTATGTTGAAATATTGATAACCTACTTCAGTGTGTCGATCGTCGATGATTTTATATTGCACATTGGTTTCAGACAGAAATTCCTGTTCCAATAGTATATTTTATGTTTCTTGACCTGAGTATTTTTTATTTTTAAATACTGGAATGGAGGTACATACCCTTACAGTGGCAGAGAGGTTAGGACTCTCGCCGACCATGCAAATGGTCTGGAGTTCGATCCCCTGTTGACGCACACCTGATATCAATTGATCGGCCTGCAAAATTTGGGCTACCGATATTACATGCTGAGAATTCCATACTTGTATTAAAAATACGGTGTGGAATCAAGATCTAATAAAACAAAAATAAATATATATATATATATATATATATTAATTATACGATTTCAAATTAACGTGATGCCTTATGGTTAATTTTATCATCATTCTCAGCTGTCAACCCGTTATGGTTTGTTGACAGTTTAAGTGCTCTCCGCCCCCATACTCCTGTGACCGTGTTTATGACAAAAAAGCGTTGCAACTAGTACTTTCGGTGTCTTTTTGAAAATTAATGGAATCATTTATACTTACGAATACAGTTTAAGTAAGCTAATAAGTATTTTCGGTAAATTCTCATCAGGTTTTCTAAACAAATAATAGAATACCAGTCAAGGGCATTTGAAACCAGATTTTATTTTGATAAATCACTCAGTGTTATACATTAATATTAACCGATGACGTTTCGAACACAAACTATTGCCACTCATAATCATATCAAGTTACTCACACAACTTTTACTTACTTCATTTATATACATGTGTGGAATTGACCAGATATTTGAATAAAAATCAATATGTGATAATGTACATTCAGAAATAATAATATGAGTGTTATTGATCAATTACAATCAGGTGAGAAATAAGGCGACTGTTTTTATAGTCATAATAAGTAACTTGTTAGAATGTTGTGATGTACTTGAATTGAAATAGAATTTTGAGATTATTTATTATCCCCCTCTGATTTGACTGGCGGTAATAATATATTCCATATTTCTGGTATTTGCATTGATTCATTTCTGTTGCATGTGTTGGGTGTAGACTCAATGAACCAGGATTCAGTAATCAATCTCTCTCTCTCCACCTACATAGATTACTTTTTAGAATTTTAGTGCATGCAGTGCACTGCATGCATTAACACATAACCACACAATAGGGTGGGAGAGGGTTAAGATTCTAAAAAGTAATGTATGTAGGTGGAGGGAGAGAGATTGATTACGAAATCCTTATTCATCGAGTCTACACCCAACACATTCAATAGAAATGACTCAATGCAAATACCAGAGATATGGAAGATATTATTACCGCCAGTCAAATCAGAGGAGGATAATAAATAATCTCAAAATTCTATTTCAATTCACGTACATTATAACATTCTAGCAAGTTACTAATTATGACTATAAAAACACTCGTCTTATTTTCCATCTGATTGTAATTGATCAATAACACTCACATAATTATAATTCATTCATGTGTGGAATCGATAAATACTGGAATAAAAATCGATTCCACACATGTATATAAATGAAGTAAAAAAGTTGTTTGAGTGACTTGATATGATTATGAGCAGTAATAGTTTGTGCTCGAAACGTCATCGGTTAATATTACTGTATAACACTGTGTGACGCTTCATCAAAATAAAATCTTATCCATAATGGAGTCATCTAGGCTATTTCATGATATGGTGAGTCAAACATATCTAGTATTGATCGCATTGGTACGGTGGCTTTATAAAATTTTAGGTAGTCCAAACAATCTGGGTATGTGTGTTCCTACAGGCTTTAGACGTTTGAGAATTTGGGGGCGACAATATGTGATGATTGGATGACAAAGCTCTTAGTATCTTACGAGATCCCTTTTTTCTACTTTATTATCTGTATCATCCTTACCGTTAGGCAGTTCTTGTACTGCTAACTTTATTGTCAATATTATACTGTGCTATAGTGTTGCATATTTTAATTTGTTTCACAATTAATCATTGTTATTGGTTATTCTATTCACATTCACCTCGATTACATTTAATTCTATTGATTGACATTGTTTCAAATGAAAAAGTTGTAAATTACTTAGTACTCATCGGCACGAAGGCAGAAAGATTTAGAAATTTGATAATGTTAAAGGTAGTTGAGTGTCAGTTTAACAAGTGTGAAGAGGTTGTGAAAATGTACAAAAGGAACATATGAGAGTGATAATAGTGAATTAATTAATAAAGTCAAAGCAAACTAAAATTGAAAATTAATAAGAAAATTTTTTATTACATTTACTAATTTTATTAATTTGACCTTTGACCGGAAATAATTCTGGAACTTTCTCACACATTTGATCTATATTTATCGGTAGACAGATTTGGTCCCTTATCTATTCTGAATTATAGCCTGTTTACATACCTGTATTAGAAAAGTTGTTTATTTTTACGGTAACAGTATAATAATTTAAAACGCTTTACCTCTAATTTGTTTTGTTTTTTAATTCCTTCAGTTCGTTGTTCGATCCTCATGACAAATTCAACTTTGTATACTTTACTTTCTTTCGCTGTAGTTTCATTCAAACCTGCTTGCTGAACTTTTTGCAGTATTAGAAGATCTTGAATGTATCACTTGTCATCTTTGTCGCTGTGTCTTATCTCCTAATGAATACTGCTCAGTTAATTTGTGTGTGTTTCATTCCTTTGCATCCCAGGTGAAACACAGAGCTTCAAGCCTTGAACTTTGAAGTTTAAGAGTAGTGGGGGCATTTGTTTAGACTGACGTCCGATCCTCCCTGTTTACTGAGCAAGGTTTAGGAGTGTGATTGCATGGAGGGTGTTGGCTGGGAACTGAACTCTGGACTACATGCGTCATTGGAGGAGCATTCTATCAGTTAATGCAGTATTCATCTTTTAATTTTAAATATCAATTGACGTTGGTGCAATATAGGCATGAATGTTATATACAAGATAATAATAAGAACAATATGAACGTCAGAACAATATGACTAATGAGAAATTTCATTGAAACAAAAACTCACTTTGCAAGGGTTCATCATATTTCTCTAAATTTCTTGAGAGTATCATAAATGCTAAGCTATCTGTGACAAATTATCGAGCCTATTGAATTGCGAAATATTTCAAACTCTATCCACACCGAGAATTGACAATCCAGAGCAGTTGGTTTGCTTCCTATTTACACTTCTAGGTCACATGTATACAACATAATTGCTTCCCTAAACAATTAAGAGGATAAGTAAACGGTTAACAACGTAGAGACGGTGTTGTGATTCCCAGTATTTGTTAGAAATCCATGACAAATACAGACGCAACTTAGTTACTTGATAGAAATTTATTTATGGTACTACACTGTCAGCTATAGTTGGTGTTTTTAGGGCTTATCATAATTGTAGAACTTGGTCACTATGGTGGAATGTAATTTCATATTAGATAAGTTTATTTTAAATATCACTTAGTGATGATGCAGTATTAACAATTGGATGACTTTTCGAGCATAAATTATTGCTCCTCATAATCATATCAAAGTATATATGTATATATATCGCTGGCATAGGCGTTGCGTCACTCTGATTGCACGTGTGCGTTGTTGAATCGATAAACAAAGCTTCAGTGATTAACCTCACTCTCCACCTAACTGTGTTGCTTTTTGATATTTTCATGCTGTTCCACCCTACTTTGTGATTACTTGCAATCCAATGGCTGACCTTTATTTAGGTTACTTAACTTTTTTTTCCCTTCACGTTCCCCAGTGGAACATAGGGCTTCAAGCTAGTGGCTTGAAGTTTATGTAGCAGTGTTTATTTTACAGGATGAGGTTGCTAGCCTCATGCCCAACCTTTCCTCTTCACCAGCATTATTTCTGGCTTAGCGAGGTAAAGGAGTGCGCCGGCCAGGGATCGAATCCCGGATCATGTACATGGTCGGCGAGCGTCCTAACCGCTATGCCACCGACGCTACTTACTTAACTTAGCAGGGTCAATCATTCTAGGTCTAGCTAAATTGTCCTAATAATCTAGGTGACCTCGATGTACTAGTTTGACCTATTACATGATATTTGGTAAATCATATTAGTTTCCTTAATTGGATCTGTTGGGTCCTTAGTCCGACAAAGTTTATCTCTGAGAGATTTGGTTGATTGATTTAAATGCCACACTAATTTCAGCCGGAATGAGAACCCCATGTGAGGTGTCTAACGTGTTCCTTCTTTATGCGGCAGTACTACAGAGGCTTTGAATTTGATATTATTGTTTTTTAATCCTATTTCGCCTATGGTTCTTCATATATATATTTCTGGATAAATTCTGGTGAGCAGTTATTTACTAGTAATATTTTCACTATTTCGTTATTTAGTTAGGCTCTTGGCCCGATTATATAGACATTTACCTAAACCTACCTTTACCGATTCTGGATGGGATGAATTAAAGTCTAGGTATTTATTAGAGTGTGTCAATTTCCTATCTAACCCCACCATCTTGTTTTCGTCTTATTTTACAGTCTAGCCTGGCCAACTCACCCAATTGTCCAGACATAAGTAGGTGGGTGGAACAGGATTTGAAACCGAAATCTGTTTGACTGAAAGTCATTTGATTAGATCAATAGTGAGCCATATATATATATATATATATATATAAACATGTATTATTTATGAACCTTCACTGATAATCTCTCATTTCTTCATTTAGGATCAAAAATTGGATCATTGATTTCATTAACTGTAACACCATGTGATAAAACCCCTTGCGCGTTATATAAAGGTCATAATTCAACAATTACAATAGAATTCAGTACAAGTGAGTCATTGAGTTTCACAAACTTTATTTATATTTTTCAACAATAAAATGGTTTACATAAATATTATCTTTAAGATAACACGAGTAATCGTATAATGTGTTGATACATACAGCACTGCATCTCTATGAGCCACTACGATTTAAAATAGAACAACAGTTAGAGCAGTTGAGTAGACAGAAGAGCGAATGTAGTAGGCCTACGCCTTAGCATAATTTCTATGTATCAGTTTACCAAATTAGAGTTTGAAGCCAGTAGGCAACAAGAAATACATTCATGAATCGTTATTCAGGATTGTTGTTATTAAGATGGTTGAAGGCAATCGGCAGGAAGCCCAGCCTGACCTAGGTTTCGTGTTTGTTGGCACTCATCAGTCACTCATGACCCTTCTGAGCTTCGAACTTGTGTTAGTCCTACAGGAGGTCAGTCGTAAGCTCGAATAGCTCAGGAGTAACGTCTCTGGCGACTGCAGCACTGTGTTGACATGAATGCAACAAATTCGCCTACTCAGCTAAGACTGGTAGTTAAAAAAAAACTATGCTGATTATTCGCCTAGGAGCCGTTGACTTTCCCTCAGAAGTAGGCAAAATTAAGCGGAAGAATTACAGAGTAAATTAACGAGTTACATAATAGTGATCGGTGTGAAAAGTTGAAAATCACTCATATCAACCAGTAGTTGTTGATGACTTTCTTGAAGCCGTCTTAGTTATCAAAGCTTTGTGGTGTTATCATATCGAACTGTATTCTGCATCGATGAGGAGTATTCATTTTTCAAGGATAATTTACAAGGTTGTCAGCAACATCTGTTCCAGGAATAACGATTTTCATTACATAAACTTCATTTAATTCACACTCATACACCCAGAGAGTTCCTCCTTTATGGATATTGCAATCCATCAATCTCCAAATACCTCACATATTTATGCTGCTAGTAAACTTCTAGGCTGTTCAGCAAAACTCATGTTGCGGAACAACTGAAAATGTTGTTTAAAAGTTGAAAATTGGATGATTGTCTAGGCTAAAAAGGCACAATCAACAGTCATTTTTCATAAATTGGGGACGACTTGGAGAAGCAACAGTTTGATTTGAAACTCACCCATCATTAAAATTATTACATATGCAAATCTTACTGGCAAATGTTATTGAGAAAATGTTCAACTGCCTTATGCAAAAAAGATTATTTCGTTTCACTCTTTATATGGCCTCACGTCATTCGGAAAGAATAAAGTTAGCCTCAGAAGGTGACATGAAAGTTTATCTTTAAGTCAAGCTTGGAAGAGCAGTTTAGCACTAAAATGGAACAGTTTTTTTCCAGAACTCTTTGAATTTATACCGAAAATTAGCAGCAAAACTCCCAACTTAGTCTTCTTGATTCCTGTTTTCTACACTTTTCTTTCCACAGGCGAAACGGTTAAAAATGGTCGTATCTCTGTACATGGAGTACTTGCTCATGTACCAGTCCCATTTCCCCTTGATAATTCAGATCTGTGTCAGTTCGTCAGTCCAACATGTCCTCTGATCAAATCTATACCAAAGTACACACATACATACACAATGTTTGTTAAAACCAGCTATCCATCGGTAAGAGACATGTAAATTTCTTATATATATGTATATACTAATCCAGTCAAGTGAAATTATGAAGACGGCAACATTCATAATATATGAAATACACTGACAACGTGTAATATGTAGCACAACCGCCAGCCACTGCCGTGAACGAGTAACTGTCTTCTTATCTGGCTTGGTGGACCCCGCTTGTTGCGACTCAAACTCCAGGCTACTTCCTGCATAGAACTAGTCGCTACTGAGCATCAGATTAATTTTAAGGTGTTGGTTTGCAGGGATTCGATTGGTTACAAGTTTGATCACGAGTTGACATAAGTTAAAGAACCACTGAAAGACTTTTGGAGTACTGGACAACCGTTTCGTCGTAATTCGGGACTCTTCATTAGTACTGGTCTGGGTCTCAGTGGCTGAATAACAACGAGCCTGCCTTACAACCAGAAGGTCCTTAGTTCGAACCTAAGTGGGTGTATCACTGCAGAGTCCTGAACTAGGTCGAAACCGCTGGCTGGTTTTCCAATGGTTCTGCAAATAATGTCAGCTCATGATAAAACCTGTAACCAAACAACTCCCTGTATACCGGCAATTAAAAACACCGACAGTAGCTAATCATATATAGTGTTGATTGCCGTACAACCCCAGAACTGAGAAAGGTTTCTTCGGAGAATATGAAGATCATCGGTTCGACGTTTGACGTTTCATTAGGCTTGAGATTACCTGAATAGATTACCGCTACTTTAAGTAATATTTGGCTTCAAGGTGACATAAACATTATTGTTCTATTTAAGTTTCGAGGAATGTAATTACTATTAGAGACAATTAAAACTGAAATTGCGGGATGTTGACACTTTTGAGCTAACTAACTTGACATCATTAAATCAACGGATTTGAAAATCCCCAAACTTTTAGAATCAACAATGATTATCGTATGAACACAAAGGATTCACCGAAGAAAATTATCTTAAGGAAGATTTGATTTTCTATAGTCGTAACCAGTGAGATCCAATTAGATGTCACCAACGACAATGGTTGGGGTCGCGCTAAATCACGAATTAGTAGAAGTTAGAATTCATGAGCCATTGAATCGGGTCTCAGTGGCTGAGTGGTATACGAGCTTGCCTTGTAACCGGAAGGTCTCGGGTTGGAATCCCAGTGGGTGCGTACTGCCGATGATTCCCAAACTGGGATGAAACAGCTGTCCAGTACTTCCTGGTTTTCAACGGTTCTCTGATTGATATCAGTCCGTGATCAACTCGTAGAAAATTTGATTATCATACATATATATTAAAATAGACACTTACAAACAGTTTTCCTATGTGTGTCAGTATGCCTGTATGTTAGAAAGCTTCACAGTGAGCGGGAATGATTAAGTGCGATAATATTACTATATAGAATAACCCGTCAAAACTAATCAGGTGTAGGAGTGAGCTTCAAAAAATAACCTTGATTTCCTGCATTAAATAATAATGAAAATAATAATCACTATAATGTGGTAAATGTTTTGAACGTCATTTATAACGATGATTATAAGGATAACAAAATAATGATTATAAGGTTTATGCAGGCGTCGGTAGGAATAACGAAGGTAGTCATATGTGCATATGTAGACAATTCAATAAATAAACAAATTAGGTCGAATCTTAAAAGTTACGAAATAATGAAGGTGAAGTGGACAGATGATCAGATGTCAAATGAATATCACAAAAGTACGAAGGAAATGGAAAAAAAGAAAGGGTGGCGGGGGATAGATTAGAATTTACCCAGACAAGCAAGGGAGAGACAAAGGTAGAACAAACTTCTTTTGCATGCAAAGACTAGGACTGTCCTCTCGAATTCCCATAGCTTCAGCTAGGTATAAAAGACGGATTCTGATTCCATTCGAAAGGCTCGATGGAATGGGATAGATAACTTTGAAGGCACTACTTCTGTCCACTCGATGAACGCTATCAATCCAATGAGTCAAAATATAACTTCTTATATATTTTATTTGGCCTTTTCCAAACCACGAAGGAAGATGCTCATTAATACGTTTGTTCAGCTGTCTAGTTGTTCCCCTTTATGGCTGTCTCCACAGGAGCAACTAAGTTTGTAGATACACTGGAGGCACGCCATCGTGTTACTTTCACTTGTTCGTGCACGTCCCCTAGCTAGTTTGGCAATCATGTCGCACTTCGATTTGGTCCCGAAATATAATTCGCAATTTGGCTGATCAATTCTGGTGTTTTGCTTTGCCTTTGGTCTACGCGGAACGTATACTATAGAAGTTGTGGGTATTAGATCTTGCGTTAGTATACTTCGTACTATCCGTTGACATCAACACCCTCAGCTTCTAAACTGGTGAGCCCGATCGCGAACTTCATCTCCGATAAACACGCAGAGTTCGTTCCATTTTTTATTTGTTTTTGTACTATTTTTAAATTATATATATTTCACCATGAGTGGCCATACGCCTGAGGTCATTCGTATTCGACTAACTAGCAAAATTATTCAGTTGGTGCTATTTTCGCCAGATAATATGGAATCATGTTTTCAGATAGCCGGGTGTGATTTCAGTGAACATGGGATCACTGACCAACGTTCACAGTTCCTTGCAGTTGTCCACGCTCTACCGCGGGAATTAAGCAATTAAGCCTTCTTCTTAACCAGTGACAATCTATGACCCACGTAGGTGATGCCTGTAGTAAACCGTCTATCAGTCGTTTTCGGCAGACATCTACTCATAGCGAAATATATATAATTTAAAAATAGTACAAAAACAAATAAAAAATGGAACGAACTCACAGGATTTGTCTGCGTGTTTATCAGAGATGAAGTTCGCGATAGGGCTCACCAGTTTAGAAGCTGAGGGTGTTGACGTTAATGGATAGTACGAAGTATACTAACGCTCCTGTGGAGAAAGCCATAAAGGGGAACAATTAGACAGCTGAACAAACGTATTAATGAGCATCTTCCTTCATGGTTCGGAAAAGGCCAAATAAAATCTATAAGAAGTTATATTTTGACTCATTGGATTGATAGCGGTCATCAAGTGGACAGAAGTAGTGCCTTCAAAGTTATCTATCCCATTCCATCGAGCCTTTCGAATGGAATCAGAATCCGTCTTTTATACCTAGCTGAAGCTATAGGAATTCGAGAGGACAGTCCTAGTCTTTGCATACAAAAGAAGTTTGCTCTACCTTTGTCTCTCCCTTGGCCTAGGTGAATCCTATTCAAAACCCTCCCACCCTTTCTTATTTTCCATCTCCTTGGTACTTTTAAAATATTTGTTTAAACTCTGATTATCGTTCCACTTCACCTTTTAAGATTTGACCTAATTTATTTATACACTTATATACATACACTATCTTTGTTATTCTTATCGCCACTTGCATAAACCTTATTATCATTATTTTGTTATCATTATAATCATCGTTATGAATGATGTTCAAAACATTTACCACGTTATTATTATTATTTACATTTTTATTTGATGCAGCAAATAACCGTCATTTTTCAAATTTTTATATCTATATTTCTTCAACAATTGTTTTGTTTTCTCGAGTTTGACTAAGTTATTGTTAAGACAAATTTCGCGAGATGATATTATTTCCTAGTTTTGTTACAGCCGCTTTACAACTAACATGGCGTACAAAAATATAATAGTATCGAGGACCATTACTCAGGTGTATTAAATATTCCCATAGTAAAATTTAGAACAACACATTTAAGCGAACAATATTGTGTTCAATTAGATCTCATCAGGCTTAACTCTACATAACTTTAAAAATAAAAATTGAAATATATACCAATCATGGTGTTTTGTCTATAGGATAATACGATGGTGAATATAAATTGTGCAATTAGTCATAATAGTAGTAGTGATAATAATAATGGCTTTGCCAATAATAAGGATGAAGAAGTGAGGCAATCTGTGATAACACAAATAATGAAATAACAGCATGATTCAACAAACAAATATTGAGGTAGAAGTAGTCGATTAAGGCTAAGGAAAACATATGAAGCGATTAAGTAATGCTAGATCGTAAGAGAAGTAAATGAAACACGTTTTAATGAGGATGTGTTAAGATTAAGGAATGATAAGAGAGGCGTTGAAAATATAAGTAAGGGGTGGTGTAGAAGTTATCAGTTGGTTACGTCTTAATAGGCCAATGGAGGGATAATGACTGTACAAACTTCTTTTGAATACATAGTTTAGGTTTAATAGTTAGAATGCCTATCGCCTGAGCTGTGTGCAGTAGACGAATACGAAGTCTATTGGAAAGATTCGGTGGGATACGATGAATTACTTTGAGAGTTCTCGTTTTCTCCACTACATGACCACTATCAATTAACTGTGACAAAATTGAGCTACGGATTGTTTTTGTCTGTCCTTTACCAAACCACGATGGGAGATGTCCACTTACACGTCTAGTAGTACACTCAACATAACTGTCACCTCAGGTGTTACCGCAACTGTAGTTGAAGAAGATCTAATTGAAAAGAATATTGTTCGCTTAGATATCTTGTTCTAATATTAATAATGGGAATATTTAAAGATATGAATGAATAACTAAATAAATAGAGGTCAACCTAAAGTTCAATAGACAAGTGTGAAATAGATGATCGGAAAATAAAGTACATTCGGAAATGGGTCGTATGTGAATATAATATGATGAAAACATAGGATGAGTGGAATGTTTTCAAAGTAGTAGACTAGATAAAATGTTAAAGCATGATAACAGAAAGTGAAATGAAATAAAACAAAAATGGAACACGGAATAAAGAAGGATAACAAAGTTGTTATACGAAAGAGATCGTACGAATTGTTTTTCTACACAAAGTTTTGGCTTTATGTTATGTATTGCCAAAGCCTCCGCTATGCCAAGCAAATGCACTCGTGTCCCTTTCGGCAAACTTTGTAGGCTATATTAAACGATGTATCAGAATCAGCGTGGTCAGTATCTACAATATGTTTTTCAATATCGATGAATTAATACCTCTACTTTCTCCTTTGCTCAAACAAACTGGGAAGTGCTCTTGAACGTGGCGGTATATGTTTCTCCACGAACGTCCTATGTAACTAGCTCCGCAAGAGTAGGTGAACATATAAATACACATGGAATTAGACAATCGAAGTAACATTTCCTTGACATTAATGTGAACCAATGGACGGCTAGAGTAGGTTATTCGTAAAGTGCCAGCAAATGATTTCATCAGACGATTTTTAATTATTATCATTCGCAGTGTCATTTACGGTGAGAATTGAAAAACTTCATTGTATAATATTTCCCTTACGGTGAACTAATAGTATTCCAAGAAAAAGAGTTGCTAACTAGTTTTGTGCTCTAAGCAATCTTAATAATTCACTATGATGCTCCAAATGTTCTTGGAATAATGCGTATTGCTCTTCATACAGTCAGAGACGTGGACTGAAAGTCAAATATGCTTGTCGAAGACAATTATAGCTATATAACTATGTTAAGCAGTATCACTAGCCTAGTTGAAACCCATTACTTACGTCACTTAGCATTCTGTCTCTGCATCTTTCGCCTAGCCTACATCAATCAACGGTTACTAAGATATAGGTTTATTCTTCACATTTGTTTGACTTTCCTTAATTTGTTTCTCCTCTAATTAATATAACAGGTCAGAATAAGTGAGTGACTACTTATCAGACAATACAAAAACCTATTGTATATTTATCTTAGTCGACGTCACTGTATAGCTTTAGCAGGCTGTTTGTTATTCTCAGTTGAAATCATTAGGACCTAACTCCAGCGTTATCATTTAGTAGTGATGTAGTAGAAACTGGATGGATGATATCCGTGTCCACTTAACTTTCACTAGTGCAGTGTAGAAGAAATGTTAAAGGCATTATCGTATATACTACTGATTAGCTGGGCCCTAGACACGCTAAACGGTCATCTCGTGTTAAGATCACTTCAGCAGGGCTGGCCACGAAGCACTACTGGTGTTGGTGTTAGTCGTATCCAACTACTCATATCAATCAGTAGTATGTGGCATCATGAGTTGTGTATGCCTGTTTTCTTGATTCCCATTTATTTATGAAAAGGCCTTCGACAGAGTTGACCGCGAAGTAATTTGGAGACTACTTCAACACTATGGCGTGCAGTGCCCCAAATCTTTATCAGCCTCATTCAACAGCTGGCTATATGACAATGCCTGCCACGAGTTAGGTGATCCACAACGAAAAACTCAGCGAAGCCTTTGAAATGAAGACAGGGGTAAGACAAGGCTGCCTACAATCACCGATGATATTCCTAATTGTGATGGACTGGAATAATGTGTCAGACTGTGAATGGGGAGTGCGAATACATGAATACATTGAGGCGCTAAGAAAACGTGGACTTCATGGATGATATGTCTAGTGTCACATAAACTCGAAGACTCAATATCAACGGAAGACACTTGAAAGAGGTCACTTCCTTCAATTATCTAGGAAGCATCGTTTCGACTACAGGTAGGTAGCATGGATGAGGATGTCAAAGTTAGCCAGGATCGAAAATGCAAAGCAGACAGATCTTTGTCACTCTTAAATCAGTTTGGAAATCTTCTGCAGTCCGTAACATAAGGGACAGGATTCGGATTTGCAAAACCAATGTCAATGTCGGTGAGAAACTTGGCGCGAGTGGCACAAAAAGAATTTCCATTTGGTTGCAGACTTTTATCAACAGCCGCCTTTACTGGCTCAATACTGAAGATCAGATGACCGGCAGGCCAGAAAGTATTATCAACAAGAAACTATGGGAACAAGCCAATCAAGAACCTGTTGGTCAATAAAGATGCCGAAGGAAATAGAGATGGATCGGACACACTCTCCGGAGATTGTTGAGTGAAATCACCCGCCAGGACATCTGTCAAACGGGGCATCCGAGAGTGACATGGAGAAGATTGTGAGAGGAGGAGATGGAAGCCTATGGACAATCGTAGAGCCGGCCAAAGAGGACCACATAGAACTTTACAGAGTGGGGATGTGCTGTTGAAGCCCTATGTTCCACTCGAAACCAAAGGGAACAATATGTATATATTATCAAGCAGATCAGCATATTCCAGTCTGAGTGATTTTGGTTGCTTTCAAAAGAAACTGTGATGATGTACGTTTTACCTCGACTTGTGTAAGTTGATAATTTGATTCTATAAATGTATGCAGATGTTTTATTAACTGTTAAATATATGTTTACATTTTTCCAGATTAGTTTAACCGTTAGATGGGAGTTGAAGAACAGTTCAGATGAAGATATAGTCTGTGTTGAATTCCCCGCTCAACTCATATAAAATAACAGCATACAGCTGATGTAACGGTAGATACACTTGTGTGACAGTGTGTGTACTTGTGTGTGTGTGTGTTTATTTGCATGAAATATCTCGAAATCTCAATATAATTCAACTGAATCTCTAAATTCTTTCCTTTTACTTCATGAAAATAACTTTGTCCTACTGATTCATTTCTTTTCCATTCTCTGATCAGAAATCTCTATTGAATTTACCATATATACATATATTTTTAATATACTGTCTCACTATTTTTATTGTATTATAAAAGAAAAATAAATAAATAGATGGACATCTAATGATTCGAACAAGAGTTTTGTTTTCGTGTTCGAGCCCCAGTGCGCTAAAAGGATTACTACCACCGATAAGGAAATGAAGAATGCTCATCGCAGTATTCAAGGTACTCACTCTACTCGAATTCACACAGCCAGGTAAGAACTTATGAAGAGTTGTCATCTGAAGTGACGACAACCAGTAGTATCCATCAGGGATGCCCAATTCCTCGATTTCTGTTTAATTTCATCACAGATACATTAATGGAAGTGACTTGTTGACAGAGGAAGGCCTTGTCGACCCTAACCCTCCCAGGTGAAGACGCTGATATAATGCAGAGTACTCTGAACACCTTGAGCATAAATCTTCGAATGCTTGGCATACGATTTGCTCCTGTTAAATGCAGGATGATGTCACAGGACTGAACTACACCGATTCCTTGCTTAAAGACAGGAAGTGATGTGTGTGAGCGTGTTGAACACTTCATTCATTCACCCCCAACGAACTGATTGCTGACGGAATCTCACCATGGATACAAAAGGTTCATTGGCATTTCCCAATCTACATCATCTATGGTGTAGACGTGATATCAGGCTATCGATCAAAGAACGTTTGTAGTGTGCAGCAGTTTCATCCGTCCTCCTTTTTGGCTGTGAGACTTACTTACTTACTTACTTACTTTACTTCGGCTATCTCCTACGGAAGGATGAGCCGGCTTCATGAACATCTCGAATCATCGCTGCCCAGGCGCGGCGATCTGTTGCAAGGTTTTGCGACAAGGTAAGAGAGTTCATGAAGTTTCATGGGAATTTGGTACGAGTGATGTCCTCAGAATCGCTCGGCCTTTTGTTTGAGAGTGCAGCCCTAGCCTTTACACAACCAAGTGTGACCTACAAGGCAGTAGGAGTGGAGTAGGGAGTCCACTATCCATTGGCAGCCGGTGACCGGAGTTCGGTTCATACGCCTTTTTGAATGGGGCCAGACATCCAGGACATCCAAAAAGCCCTTTGTCCATACGTCTGCCGGTGAGCTTCATACGCCAGTCGTTGGAGGTTTGGAATCAGGGTTTAGCCATCTCCCCTAGACTGTCATCCAATGGACAGTCAACCCGGTGAAGAGCGCCGTGAGACATGGCCATTGAAAGTGGATGGTATAAAAAAGTTACTTTTCCCTGATCATAGTTGTCTGAGTTCGATCTTCCACTTTAGGTGGTGTAATTTGGTGAGTAATGTTGAGGTTAGGCGTCGAGTGTTCAGTGAAGAGGGTAACTTGGTCGACAAGGTTGTGAGGCTGTATCGATTGAGATAACTAGGACACGTGCTGCGCACTCGCAGCCATCGAAATCCTCGACGGGCAACGTTAGCTGAGCTATTGGTGGTCATACCGAAACTTCAAATCGGTTCATGAAATCTATGACAGTAAGTCTGAACCAGCCATGTATGAAGGTGTAGACTACCCTGTTGGGGTTCACTCTATTCTAAGAACCAATGACTTAATTTTGGGGATATGACTCGAAATCGTTCTCAATGGCGCAAATGCATTCACTCCCTATGATCTCCCTCACATTTCTGTTAATTATGGTTCGTTTGAATCTCTTTTGTTTTCCATTGTGTGCTACATGGAGTGTAGGAACTTGAACTGCTGCACTTCTGTGCAAAGTTCTGTACTGAAACTCAGTCAGTCACTGATAAATATTGGCTTACCGGAAAAGGAAGCTAATAAAGGTAATCACAGAAATAGACTTAATGTTGTGTTAATCAAGCTGTAGTCAGCAAGATCTTTGTCGTTTATAGTTAGTTGCCCAAGAACTCTATGCTGTACAATTAATTCTCTTGAGAAACGGTATGTATTTGCGCTACGTATGCAGGGCAAACAACCGTTTTTGGTTTGCTTGGTTGATTACACATAATTCCCCAACAAGGAAATAAATTCCGGTGTCGTATTTACCAATTGTGTCCCTTTTTGAGAAAACAACTGGATTCCTGGTCGGCGACGAAGACAATCAACTGTTTAATCGTCAGTTACATCTGTGATTATCAGTCAGTAAATCCACTGGTTCACAATACAATTTGTGACGAAATGTGGCACGGTGTTCATCTAGATATAACAGAGAAAATATGTAGCTCATTTGGGATGATTTTGGTTTACTGATGAAAAATCCCCATCCAGACATTAATGAAAACAAGTAGTTCAGTAAAGGGGCTTTTGTGGTGATTTCGATTCCCCCCTTGGCTGTACAATCCCAATCATATACAATTTTTCATGAAAAACGGAAGTTACGAAAGTGGTGAACTGTCATAGTTGGTAATATTATTCAATGCATAAGAGGAGATGAATAAGTATAGTTCGAGTTACGTAATAAGGTGAATAATATAATGGCTGAATGGGTTGTAATCAGAATGAACATAGAAACAAAGGAAAATATAAAATTATGTTAGAGTTGTAAAGAAATACCAAAGTTATAAGGAGTCAGATAAACAAAATTAAAACAAACAAAAATCAAGTCATTGGAAATCAACGATTAGGTTGCTACCATGATGATAAGAGTGTTTGCATAATTTTCTCTTGTGCACAGAGTTATGGTTTTTCTTACTGAATGGCTAAGGCTTCAGCCCTTCTTTCGGGGATTGTGTCAACAATCACGAATATCTGAAATGGTTCTGGAAAGCATTGTGACGGAATCATATATATCCTAATACGAAGTCACTTCGACGGCATTCAGGGAATTACGCTTACTCCTTTCGATCACGCTTCCCAGAACACAAACGGAATATTTCCCGAAGATCTTCAGCCCTTTACAAATAACTCCCCAATGAATCTCGGAGATTCCCGGAATACGTTAATATTTTTGCCAAGAAAAAGTCGCAGTCTGCTGTGACCCAGCTCACCAATAGTTTCAAGTCGATGAAACCTGACAGTAAATTTCCTGAAGACCATACGAAATTTGTGTTGAACTTCTCTTTATAGTGTCTGTGTCTGATTAGAGTCATGCCGAGTGTGAGGACATATACTCGTGGATGACATTAGCTAATGGTCAAGCTATATTGTGAGTTGGCACAAGCTGGGATTCATTGGCCATTGGATCGGGTCCTAGTGGCTGAATGGTCTGTGAGCTAACCTCGTAACCGGAAGGCCCTGGGTTCGAACCCCTTTAGTGGTTGCGTACTGGGGAGGAGTTGCAAACCAGGACGAAATAGCTGCCCAGTACTCATAGTTGGTTTTCAATGGTTTTATAACCGATGTTACCTCGTGACGAAATACTGTTGTAACAACAGAAGACAAGGGCCAGGCAACAGATCGTTTATTACGGAAAATCAACACGTATTTATAGATTTTGATGTACATTATTGTAGGTTAATGTTAGTATAAAATACAGTCTGTTGATTGGTTGTTTCTCACACAAAGTTAACCTTGCATTTCTTGTGGCTGTGTCAGTTCATCTATATATTAACTGTATCCGCCTGTCCATCTTGACCTTGACCTCAATTACTGTCAACCAATTTGGCTAGCAACCATCTCTCACCACACTGTAACCAATCAAATCAAATCCCTGCAAACCAACACTTAAATGGCTAAAGCTTTAGCAATGCGAAGAAGACGAAAGAGTACTGACTTTGGCAGGTTGTTCTTCACTTTGAAGGAGTCGTCTGTTGAGATGAAATGACCAGTATTGACAAGGTTTTCGATTATCTCGCCCTTTATGTAGTCACTATTGCCTTTCTGCAACCATAATATGTTTTAGACAAAATATGCATCGAATGAACTAATATAAGCACATAAAATTGGTCAGATGAGAGATCTTCTCCTTTCAGCTTCTGCAGTCCAATAAGAGAGACAGCAGAACTTTACTTTTATCGTTGCTGTGAAGGATGTTTTCAAAGATGATGGAATTCATCTCTTAAGGATATCACAGGTTTATTCTCGCTTGAAATCCGAGTTCATCTGTAGTTTTTTTCATCACAGCAAGCACTGTTTCGTTCCTCTGAACCTTAGGTTTGCTATTGTTGTCAATGAATATCGGTGTGTATCTATTTTGGATGACTGTTTCTTTCAAAAGGCATAGTTATTCTTCTAAGGTTTGACGTCTGCAGATGAGTTAGATGCAAGTGATAAAGGATTCGTTTTCGTTCAGTGGATATCCAACTGTAAAAACATGTTAGCTGGCCGTTTCAAATGGGCATTCAAACTGAAGCAAGGGCTGAAGGTGTTGTCTAAGACAATGAAAGCTTCGCAACGAAACCCTCCAACTTCGGGAGAATTCCACTATGCTAAAGTGTTCATCTAATCTGCTTCTCTCTGATATTACTAGCTATTGATAACAGTTGTCAGTTCATCAAAATTGGAGAATCATCTGTAGGCTAGTATTGTAACATCACGTTAGTTAAATTATAGAATCCTAAACTTCGTTTTCTCATCTCTAGGGTTACTATCCAAAAACATGTTCGATCGTTTTTTAAATTTCAGGAAAAATATATAACTCAAGCTGTTGAAATACTGATCTATGTCTCCCTTCCTCAGCAATTATTACAACGTGTGCGTCGGTGGCACAGTGGTTAGGACTCTCGCCGACCATGCACATGGTCCGGGGTTCGATTCCCTGCCGGCGCACACCCGATATCTATGGTCGGCCTGAATTTGGGCTACCGGTATCCATGCTGAAAGTTTCACACTTGTACTGAAAATACGGTGTGGAATCAAGCTGTAAATAAAAAAAAAAGAACTACTTTCTGATTAATAATAATGTATGAATGTTCTTGTGAAGTTTCATAAACCGATTTCCCTTGATGAATTTCAACAAATCAGTGCCAACACTCTATTTCGTCGGTATCTACAATACGACTGGCTGCAAGATGCGTATTGTCATGAATCGACATCGTAATTGTGGAACACGAAACACTGAGCAGCTGCTTCGGCCTAATTTAAGACTCTCCAGCATGGCACACCAGGTACTGAACCCAGGACCTTCATGTTACAAGGACAGGTCGCTGACCAATCAGCCACTGGGTCAGAATCCAATGCCCCGTAAATTCTAACCTCAGTCAAATCGCCAGATATAATGCCGCAGTCATCCATCCATACTAGACCCCTTAGATCACAACTTGTCACAAGGACTTCGGGAAGTCCAGCTCAAAGTTAGTGAATAATAAATAAAAAGTGGGCTAATTCTCAAGTGTTGGTTACAAAAGATTTGATTGATTTCGTCAAGTTCACTTTCGTTTAGAATATAGTTCCGTTTATCAGCAATTATCTTTCTCCTGTTTGCCTCCATTTTATTTGTTGTTGAAATGAACATCTCTCTAAATTTGATAACTATGAGTTACCCGCCGATACTGCAATTATAAAGAGGTGGCAGTAACACAAATCTAAAGCAACATGTTACTAACATCAATAATAGGGGGATTTTACTCAGGATTCGTTTTCCTGTTTTTTTTTGCAGTTTATGAATATTTGATCTAATTACCCTGAGAACTGATTCATTTCAGCGCACGTATACAGCTATTCTTTTTTGAGATCTATTATCTCCTGGTCGTCTCATATCTTAGCAATTTCTAAGAAAATATTTCGTCTTACCTTCTACATTAAGAAGTTAAAACATTCTGGTATAACCCAACCCTTACTCCTACAATTCGTTAATTCTCGCATCCTGCCTATTATTCTCTATTGTTCCCCCTTAGTTTTTCCCAGGCTACTGAAGAAAGATTATAACATATTACTCAGGATGTTAAAGGTTGTCAGCAGGGTAAGCAACGTGCCACTTAACCAGCTTGTTAATATTCTGGTTGACAGGCACGTGGACTCATGTGAAAAATGAGCCAACTCCATTTTATCTAACTCACACCACCCTCTTCACTCACAACTCTCCCCTTGCATCTCATCAGGTAAAACCAGAAGCCAATATAGAAAACTATATGCTCGCACCAGCAAGTACAAAAACTCAACCATACCCTACTTAGCTCCTGTTCTGTGTGATAAAGAAAGCATTAGGCTTGACACCTATAATTCATTAAATAGTCAGTAGTACAACTGGATCTCGTCTTTCTAACTCTCATCATCAATAGGCACAACTTTCTTTCTTTTCCTTTTCTCTCTCTTCTTTTTCCGTTATGTGCTGCTTTGTTTCTTTCCCTCGCTTACACCAGTTAAAAAGACAGCTCCCACTTTTCTACCACCTTCAAACACTGTTCAGCTTCACCTTTGCTACCGACATGCCAGTGTGTTGTTGTAATAATGAACTGTGGTTTCCTTAATCTATGTAGAATTCTATTTATTGAAAATGTACCAACTGGATACAATATTGTAGTAAAAATGCTGAGAATTACATTCTGTATCACATGTACTGTTTTGGAATAAAGCAAATTATTATTATTATCTGTGAAGTCCTCAAGAATAAATTTGTACAGTTTTTGCCAGATGTTACAAATGGACACATTGTACATAACTTTCGTTTAGTCGACTTCTTTGTAAAATATAAGTAACTTTCGCGTTCAAATGGAAATATGATCGTGCTGCCCGCGCCTTTCTCTTCTGGCTGGTTCATACTGTCTACTAGCTCTGCTAATCTCCGTGTTGTACTCTTTACACCTTATAGGAACATCTCGTCCTCTTCCTAAGGCTCTTCAGCAACTTCTACTAGTGGACACAACTTTAGCAGTGAACCGGATCTGTGGATTATATTAAATTATTAATTTGTAGCAGTGGACCATAATTGTATTTTCAAGTAACCATTGACTTTTAACACTCATTTATCTGTATATCTATAATGTGCCGTCTCTGGATTTTTATTCCGAACTCCTTGTTTAGTCCCCGACATATCGCTGGAGCATTTATGGTCCTTGTTTAGAGAAGGATAAACTAAAGTCAGTCATTGGTTATATGCTAGCCAGTTTAGTGGACATAGAATAATAATTAGTTCAATGTACTCCTCTCTTTGATACAATTCATGTTTGAATACATTATTTATGCGCTCATAACATATGCGGTACACCGAACTAGAAGTATACTTCGAAAAACAGCATACTACATAAAGTTTTATAGTTGTACCATTTTTCCCTTCCTTGTTGTGAATACTGTGACCTCTTTCTAACATCACTAATTTGAATTGAATACAGGGCGTTGACATTACAATGATACACAATCTACGAAGTTTCTACTGAAATGGTAGAAGACGAAGATTTCTGTTAATGGAATGGTATCTCTATATAGCTAAATTATGTACACCTTATCTTCGACGCACCATTTGCACAGATCTTCGTGTTCTGGTACTTCTGGCCATCCGTCATATTGTGTTTCTTTGTATTCCATTCACATCTCCCATGTATCTCCACAACGCTGTATCATTTGCGTTCTCTGAAATCAAATGTGGCTCCCTGCTATTTCATATTTTTATACCGCCTGGTCTACATCTCTTCATATACTACTGATAAATCTTATCAGTAGCACTCACCATATTATAGCTGACTATTTAAAGCACACTGGTGGGCTATTCATACTCAAGATTATGAGTGAACCATAATCTGAACGTATTCTATTATATTTGATGAATAGCCTAGCAACATGTCGTATACTGTCAGCTGTTTCTACTACGATTGGGTTGGTTGCTCCCGAAAAAAAATTTTGTTTGAATTAATTACCCTTTGGAAACAGTCTACACAGTTGTTGAGAAGAGGACAGTGGATTTAGTAACAGAATTGTCTACTTTCAGCAAAATGTGGTACCACATTGAAAAAACACAAATGGCTTTCGTTGAAACTTTAATTTGAGAAAAGTAGTTGTATTCTACTTATTTCTGTCTTTATTTTACGCTACCTTGTCAGTAGCTTACACTGTCAGCCATCTATCAACACGCATTTTCCTTAAATTCCCACACTTATAACTGAAATCAGTACCGTGATGTGTAAGGCAAGAGAGAGCTTAATAAATCTGGAATGAGGCTGTAAATCTACTGCACTCAGTATAGGGAACAAGATTAGGACTTTCAACACTAATGTTTAGTCAGTCAGCGGTTGTATATGTTTCAGAGACTTGATGTACTCGTCACCAAAAGTATTTCCAACAGGGTACTGCAGACTTGTGTCAGCAGCTGCCTTCGCTCACTCCATACTGAAGATCAGATGACCAGTAGGAAAGAATTAGCAACAATGAACTCTTGTAACGCAACAACCAACAATCTTCATCCAAAATGGATACCCACTAAGATTAATTGATAAAAATATCAAACCAAGAATTTGGAGAAATGAAACTTCACTTGCTCCTAAAAAGAAACCCTACATGAACTTGGATTTCAAGGGAGATTTAACAAGCGGTATTCTCAAGAGAAAGATCACATCATCTCTGAGAAGAACATTCTTTGCAGCAACGCTAAGAATAGTGTTCTCCAGTCGCCCAGTGATCAGCAGAAACCTCAAGGACAAGATCTGACCACTTCTAAGTGCATATATCAAATCACCTGCTGCTGTGGAGCCAGGTACATTGGTCGTTCGACGCCCACCCTATCCAATAAGATTCAAGAATACTATCCAGCATGGTTGCGAAAAGGCAATAGTGGTGTAATAAGGAGTGAGATAATTGAACACCTGGTTAACACTGATCATTCCATCTCAACAAACGCCTCCTTCAAAGTAATCTACAGAGTCAAGAATAACCTATCAAAGGCAATACGGTTTCGTCTTCTTTGTGTCGCTGAAGCTCTGGCCATTCGCTTACAAAAGAGAATTACTCAACCACTTCTACTGTCATGGTAACAACTCTGTTGATTTTTTGATGACTTAATTTTGTTTGTTTGCCTGTTTCTTTAATTGCTTATAATTCTTGTATTCATTTAGAACTCTTACGTAATCTCGTATTCTCTACTTTGTTCCTATGTGTATCCTGAGTAAAACTCAATCATCAAACTATTCATATTATTACATAACTTCTTTTTAACAAATGTTTGTGACAACTCATCACCTTTGTTACTACCCTAATTTCATTAACACCCAATTTTCTTGACTGATTTTGTATTACGTAATTCCAATTAACAATCTTCACCTGTTTAGTTAAAATAACTATAACCAATTGTATTTTTGTTTGACAAACTTAATGTACACATACATACAAAATAACACATACATATATTCACGATTGTACAGCTAAGAAAATGAATTCGCCGAAAAGAGACTCTTCGCTGAACTACGTGTTTTATTTTCATTAACCAACAATCTATCCCACATGAGAAATATGAATAAGGAAGTGAAGATGGATGGGGCACAAGCTGAGGGGACCTCTTAGAGATGTCGTGTGCCGGAAATCTGTCGAGTGGAACCTGAATGGGAAACGATGTTTGGGCGTGGATCCGAGAGTGACATGTATACGGTCGGGTGAGACGGTGATGAGTGCTTATTGGAGATAGCGGAGCCATCTAAAAACGACTGCAGAGTACAGGATGAAATGAAGATGAGCTGCTGAAGCTCTGTGTTTCCCTAGTAACCTAAGGGAGTAATAATAATAATAATAGCATAACAGAAATCCATCGATGTCCTCCTATGCAACCTGTATCATCATATACGCCTTTGCTTTCAATAAAGTGCACCTTTTGAAAAAGAAAAACAACAAGCAAAAAGTCCTATCAATTTAAAAAAAGGGACAAATTATTGATAAATATCACATGAGTTTCCAAAGGGGAATATCTGCATTCGACAAAAATATAAATATATAACAAGATTCCACACCGAAAATGAACATTTGTAAGCTGTCATGTGGTTTGCATAAAAATCGATATATATATAAATGATCACGTACATTGAAATGTAGAGAATATGAACCAATTTGAATTTTTTTTTCCGATAGAAATCGATAATGTGCATTATAAAAATATAAGATATGAAAATTAATACTAATTCAATGCATATTCATGTGAATAAGGCCTAGAGAGAATAACAGAAGGGGAGGAGGAATAATACAAGCGGATGATGTTGTTTGTTTCGTGTTTTTTGTGAAAAATATATAAAATCTTAGGCATTTACTATTCTGTTGACAACAGCACCTGGGAAACTGTAGAGGAATAAGAAGATAATGAGACAGATGAGGAATATTATGAAAATTTTTATCAGTACCCATTTTAATCGATATTTAACTAGATAACGCAGGGTATTCAATGGTCCAAGGAATTTCATGAATGTACTATCCGGTCGACTGAAAAGCAATGAAACAAATGGAAAAAAAATCAGTGAAAATACAAGTATTTTGGTTTTTCGAAATTAATACTCTAATTTCAATTAAATTACTTGTTCGTCAGTGGTTCAGGTGTGGAACGCTTGCCAATTACTCATATGGCTCAGGTTCGATTCCTGGCGTGTACACTGTGAAACCTCGCATAACCGGCAGTAAGCCCGCTAATAGAGGAAGGTTGGGCATAGGGATAGCAAGCTCACCCATCCCTCGTAAAATCGGTACCGCTACTTAAACTTCAACAAACTGAATCTTGAAACCCTATGTTCCATTTGCAGCGCAAATCAATGTTAAAACAATTAAATTAACTGAATTTAATTATTACATGTGAGTAAAACAAATACACAGTGCTTATCAAAGTAAAATTCGCAGACCAAATATACCAACTAATAAAAAGTAAATCATGTGACTAGAAAGTTTAAAATCCAAGTCAATAAAAAATGATCAATACAGATGTAAATCGACTACCAGCCATGAAGATGGTTACCATGAGACGCAATTCTATCATTCATGGAGAATTGAAATCAGTTCAGTTTATGCTAAAAATCGCGCTGAAAGGGAATGTTGTCCAGAAGGACGACGAAAGCTCCGCAATTAAACCAACCAGCTCAGAGAACACTACTAATTGCAATAAAGTGATAGTTTAAGCTAATGACTAATCGCCTACATGAATCATGTTGACTGACACATGTGCTTATTTTTCTAAAATTAATAATGATTGTATTGAAAAAATTTAATCTATTTTAATATACTGACAGACTAAAACATGCCATTAAACTAATAATAATTAAAAGTTGGTTATACATTCTATATTTTAGCATGTGGTATGAGTGTATGTATGTTTCACTTTCTCTCTGTTTGTCTCTGTGTTTGTCTGTCTGTCTGTATATCTATCTGCTTCTATGTGTATACAATAGATCTCATGATGACATGTATATATATTAAAGTTTCTATGTGCATTCCTATCAAGTGTGTTAATCAATAATTAATATGGTGTGGTCACCGTTGTTGGTCACACTCTGGAAAACTGTATCATTAAAGTTTAAATGTTTGTATCTAAATAGTTGTATATATATAATATAGAGATGTGTTATTGTTTTGATGACCTGCAAACTTTAGCTGATTAAACACAGTGAAACACGGAAGGTACCAAAAACGGTAACAATTACCAGCTGCTCTATCTACAAAAATGTTTGTAAACACTGAACATGCTGAACGCTGATTTATCAGTGAAAATGTAGGTCATCCAGGGAATGCAAATTAATGAATACTACAATAATATATACACTCGTGCTTGTTTTCACTATATGAATAGTGCAGACTAATGAAATAAGTGAAGAGTTATCAAACAGGTGTCTGATATGGAACATTATTGAAGCTTTTGAAGGGTATACTGATCAGGTATACATATCAGGGCAATTCTAAACAATAGCGACCCTAACGAAGGACCCAAGCTAATGGACGTAATTACTTTGATCGACAAATTGGATGATTCATACTGAAAACACAGAAATATAGATGCAGTACATAAACTAAGTTGCAAATTCCATCAAGAGGTAGTATTTGAGCACTGTAAGGATAACACGCCTACAGGAAGCTTGTTGATGTCAAGGAGTAATGTCTTTACAGAGGTATGCAGCCACTGTTGATGGAAATGTGTACAGATCTCCAGCCTGTTGTTACAGAAAATCTGCCCGAGAAGAAATGTCGTTCTTTTTTCGGTTCATTGGTGCTGCGAAGCAGTGAACGAGTCATGAAACAACATGATATACAGTTATCTGGATGAATTTATGTACAGAAATAAGTTTGAAATATCACTTAAGACTCCACTAAGGAATTAGGAGGTTTTCCCGAGACAAATATAGGAAAGTTACCCGCATTAATTTATTTTAACATTGAATTTGATGACTATAATTGCGCGTATTTACTGAGGACTCATCTGATTGTTTGACCAAGGTCATTACGTCCGTTTACTTAGGTCCTTCGCTCGGGTAACTAATATTTAGAGTTACTCATGTTAATAGATATATAATACTATAGCAGCCGTGATGGTGAACAAACAGTCCATGTAAGCGACTGTAAAAATCACAAGGTTTGTTCATAAATTGCACATTCAAATGTTCAGACCGCATAGTAGCATGATTCAGCACTACCCTTGGTCACCACCTCAATCCTAGACCTAACTCTTAACCCTAAGGTATCCCTTAATCCTAAGTTTGGTCTAATCCCTGACCATTAACCTTCACCCTTTACATTAATAGCTGATAAGTCAAGTCGACGGAAACCTCTTGAAGCAAAACTTGAACTGCTTTCACATAACTAGTGATACGATTGTGTTCTCAACGTCACTTGGTGACTGCCAAAGCTTATTTTCACCATATTTTGATTTTTTTTGTCGAAACCAAACAAGAAATCATTTAGTGTGAAGGTAAGTCTGTGTTCATGTGATTAACTCAGTCGCAATGGATCATCATTATCAAGTGAAATAGATTTCATTTGAATTTAGAAAAGTTATTTAATTATGCTGACTGTTCAGAAAACATTCAATCTAATTTCAAGGTGTCTTTTCCCCTATTCCACTGTCTACTGTACACATATCTCTTTAAAGTGCTCAGCAAAAGTTGGACACTATGAAGTATAGAATGCATAATGCTGAAAACTTTGAAGCTGGGACGAAATTGAGGTATAGTGTTCCCTAGTTTTTAATGCGTTGTTTTCTTATTAAACGGATGTTAGTTATCGAAAGTATCATTTCTGAAGCAGTTCCTGAGATTCATTGTTAGCTAGTTGGAGGGAATCAGTAGAAAGCCTTGAACCTAGGTTTCGTGCTTTTTGGTTCTCTCCAGTCAGCAAGGCTTATCTGCGATCTTTAAGGAACTCATGTCCCTCCTGAGATTCGAAACAGCATCACTCAGTGTTCAATACAGTCCTACAAGGTGGTCAACCGTGAACACAAATAGCTCAGTGGTAACGTCTCTGACTGCAGCACTGGGTAACACGGGTTCGGGTTATGAGTTCCTTCAAGATTGCAGATACGCCTTGCTGACTGGTGAGTGTCAACTAGAACGAAACCTAGGTAAGGCTGGGCTTCCTACCGATTGCCTCAAACAATCTAATATCAACAATTCACACTGTGATGGCAAGCCACATAGCACGGTTACCACATTGCAAACTTGACTGATGGAATTCAATCTGCACCAAAGAAAGGACTAGACATACGATACTAGTTATTATCTAGTGTCCAAACAAAGTTCTGTAACTTGTTTTATAATTGTGAAGTATTCAAGTATAGTTTAGTTGAACATCATTCATATTTTAGTTGTTTAATGGTACAATCGTTTCGTTTGTGTGAGGCGACGTTTAACTGAGTTGGATATTTTACTATCTCTCTACATAGCCGTTTCTATGCTAACTTCTTCAGTTATGATGCCAGCCATCATTGAAAGAATAACACTGACGAACTCTGAATTATCATCAGTATGTAGAACCACAATCTACAAAACCATATACCAAAAATGAAGAGAAGAAGGGCGATGAATGTGATGAATGGAGACGTATGTCACAGCGAATAATTACATGAATATTAAATGAGGCCTTTTAAAATTTATAAGAGATGCCAAGGAATGAAAAAACCTCAGAAGATGAACGATGTCTATGGGTAAGAAAGATACTCTTTGTATAACCTCGAACCCCCAATCTACTTGGTCTATGTAGACCAAACAACAGTTTGTAAGTCGAATCAAAACAACAAACTGATCGTTTACCAAACGAATATATATTCGGGATCAGAAATACAGAGTGGTGTTGACTGTTTAGCTAGCTAGAGAATGTGCACGAACAAACAAACATAATATGACAACGTGCGAAATGGCGTGCTTGACCATCCTCCCGCTTCAGCTTAACCAGTCGACTTAAATAATAAGGGCCAATACCCAATGTTGAATGATGAAATCAGTAGGCTAATAATTATGGATAAATATTTATTTGGTTACAGGATTTCATCATGAGCTGAAATTAGTTAGAGAACCATTGGAAAACCTGGGAGTACCGGACAGCTGTTTCGTCCTAGTTTGGGACTCTTCATCAGTACGCATCCATCGGGATTCGAAGCCAGGACCTTCTGGTTACAAGGCGAGCTCGTATACCGTTAAGCCACTGGGACCCGATCCAATGGCCAACTCGTGAATTCTAACTCCTGCCAATTCACGATATAGAGCAATCGCTAGCCAATGTCTTCGGCGAGTATTTGTCCTCACACCCGACCTGCTGCACTCTACTGGTCACGACTTCCCACTAGAACCCCAGGTAACTACCTACTTGAATAGGGCCAGTCGCCAGTGAGCATCTCATTGATATTCAAGTATTGGTTTGTAGGGATTTGGTTGATTGGTTACAGGATTTCATCATGAGCTCGAAGGTCCTGGCTTCGAACCCCGGTGGGTGCTGAAGAGTCCCAAACTAGGACGAAAAAGCTGTCCAATACTCCAAGGTTTTCCAATGGTTCTCTAACCAGTGTCAGCTCATGATGAAATCCTGTAACCAATCCCTACAAACAAATACTTAAATATTTATTTATTTGCCACCACAGCTTACTTCCCTTCTACTGGGGCCGTGAGTTCCCTAAGACGACACTAGGCGGAAGTAGATACTTAAAGGCTGCACGATTAGTGAACACATCACTGACAATAGTTATGAGGTATGCAATCCATGCGAATAACATTGAAAATACGATATATACTTAATTTTGAATAAAAAATATACAATATGAAAATGGATGTTAATTATTGCATACTCTGGTTTCGGAAGTCCATTCGGTTCATCACGACCTAGACCAGCAGGATTGCTTTCAGCTTCAGCGCTGTTCAACATTTCCAGTTGACATTCAACTTTACCCTAAATTCGAGAATACAATTTTTAAAAAACAAAAACAAAAACTGATATAAGTCTAGAATTTAGCCACTGTAGTAGAATATGACTTTATAATACAATTTTATTTGAAGAAAAAAATTAATACAGTATTATTTTAATTGGTAATACACACTGGTCACGACTTCTCAAAAGAACCAGTCACCAATGTGTATCAGGTTAGTTATCAAGTGCTGGTTTGCAGGGATTTGATTGGTTACAGCTTTGATCATGAGCTCACCTCAGTCGAAGAAACATTGGAAAGCCTGAGAGCACTGGACAGCTGTTTCGTAATAGTTTAGGACTCTTTGTCAGTACGCACGAGCTCGCCTCGTAACCGAAAGTTTCTGGGTTCAACTCCCGGGGGCATGCACCGATGGAGAGTCCCAAACTGGGACAAAACAGCTGTCCAGTACTCCCCGGTTTTCCAATGTTTCTTCGACTGAGGCGAACTCGTGATCAAACCTGTAATCAATAGAATCCCTGCAAACAAACACTTGACAGTTTTAATTACTTTTTTTTTTATTCCTTCATGTTCCCAGTGGAACATAGGGCTTCAAACTAGAGGCTTGAAGTTTCTGTAGCATTTTAATATTTTTACAGGATAGGGTTGCTAGCCCCATGCCCAACCTTTCCTCTTTACCAGCTTTTATTTCTGGCTTAGCGAGGTAAGGCAGTGCGTCGGCCGAGGATCGAACCCCGGACCATGTGCATGGTCTGCAAGCGTCCTGACCACTATGCCACCGACGCACGTTAATTACTTAGTGATGATGTTTTGAACACAATCCACTGCTCAAAATCGTATCAAGGCACCCACATAAACTTTAAACTTCATTTACATAATTCCATAATTTCTTGCCCTTTGATTTGATTGGTAGTAATATTTCCCACACATCCTAGTAATTGATGTTGAGTCATTCTTATTACACATGTTAGGTGTGGATTCGATGAACAGAAATTCGGTAGTCGAATTCTCTCTCCATCATTTGATATGTCTGTATAGAACTGTAACTCTGTCCCGCCCTATTGTGTGATCATATGTTAATGCGTGCAATGCAACTGATGAGGATTTTTCCAGTTTAGTCATAGTTATGGTGTCAACGATTAGTTGAATTTCAATGTTCCGATAACCTCTCTCAACCCCCTATATGTTGAACTAACCTATGTAGCTGACTACACAGTCACTCCAAAGTGTTGCCTAAACTACTTTAGTTTATCTAACGGTCGCTTAACCGACAGAGCTTGTCACTCATTGTGTTTATACGTTTCAGTGTTGTCGTCAGTTTACAAATAATACTGTTTTACTGTATTTTTTCTTATCGGACAAGTGTATTTGATTATGAAATACACAAATCGTTAACAGTCAAGTTATTGAAGTTCTAGGTTTACAAAATCTCTTACATAGACTATGTAAACGCATAAAATTGAAGTTGTACAGTTACTGTGCCGATTTGTTAATATTCTTACATTCACACATCTAATGTATTTGTTAAACGATGAGTCATACAGGATTCGTCTATTCGATGTCTTATCATTGATATGCAAGTGTATGTGAAGAAGTAATCTATCATTTCAATTCTCTGGGTTGGTTCTTTGTTAATATTATGTGCCTAAGTAAGCTTCAGGGATGCACAACCTAATTACATTGTGTTTTCATAAACTGCATGTCTGAATTTAAGTTATTGTGACAGTAAACAATGTGTACCACAATCCTTGTTGTCCGTGCTTGATTCCATGTACAAGTTGCAGTGCGTAATGCAGAAATTAATATTTCATTCAAAACCATAAAACATTACAGTGAGTTTTTATAGATCGGGTTCGATATAACAATTAATGTATTATGTAACCTTATTTCACATAACCCACTGACTAACTCAGTATTGAATTCCATGGCTAGAGTAACTACAACCTTTACTTCTAGTCAACCAGTGTTGTCCAACAACTTCACTTCTCTATTTTCACATGTTTCATCGTCGTTACAGAGTATAACGTTTTGACTAAAACGCTGTGATACGTGATTCCAAGTTTAAACCAATTAGAACTCAACTAGTTCACTAAACAAAGTCCCCAAGTCATATCATACTAATCCCAATAACTTCACATGATTAAGTTAAGATAAACAGATCAGTCAGAGTTTTCATGGCTGTTTCCGATATGAACCGAGAGAGAAATCTAATTTGTTACTCATACTAAAGAACTGGGAAAATTTGCCCCAGATATGTGTTTCAATGAACGTGAAAGAATGAGGTAGGTACGTATACAAAACAGATACCCTTCAAGGTTCGCCGACGGAATACCTTAGCGTAGAGCAGGCGTTTGAAGACATCTCTACAGCTTGAAAAAAATTATTGTTGATGAATACGAAATGCATAGGAGATACAGTAGATGACTCTCTAAAGAAATGCTTATATAGATTATTAAGGTGATTCCTCTGTTGATTTGAGAGTCAGATTAATGAAGCGTTGCCTCAGCATATATCTACGAATTCACTTGCGCACGTGGAGCTAGTTACCGGAAGTGCACATTTTCGAATCATACCTCTGGTTTGGAAAATATCTGTAGCTAACTCAATTCTTGATTATCTGGTGTATTTGAATCACGTAGTCCAATTGTGCGTCAGTGATTCAATAGTAGAACACCCACTAGACATACAGGAGACCAGAGTTCGATTCTCAGTCGACATGCCCCTAAACCCAGCCTAGTTTACCAGATATGACAAAAAAAGGGATTTTGGGTGTGAGACTAGGAACTCCATTCAGTAACAACACACCACTGTTGAAACATCAAAGCCCAAAGCGCTATGTTCCTTTCGAAACTCAAGAAAATGAAGCGGAAGGGCCTACTAGAGTCCTCCTTTAAAATTCCCTACAAAGTGAGGCAAAAAAGTTCAAGCGATAAAAATCTCCATAAAAAAATTCTTAATAAGGCGTGAGTCCCAGTGGTTGTTTTTTTTTGTCCTCAACAAATCCATTCAGAGAAAACCTTTGGAGGTATTACGGATTCTTGTGAGCCCATTGGCCAAATTAATCATCCTATCAAATGCTGTCAACCAAATTTGAGGGTAAGCCAGTCTTTGAGTATCCCTTAGTTTATCAAAGTACATGAATTTAGTAAGAAATGTAGGATGATGGAGGCAAAATGAACGAGTAATTTGGTGAATACCTCACCTGTTCCTATGAATACTATTTCTTACCATAGGGCAAACCTCTTAAAGGTTAGAATTGGTAGACAGACAGTTAGATTGGACATTCAGACATTTACTCATAGAATTAACACTGCACACATCACACATGAGAAACATAAGTGATGCAATTTACACACCATAGTAAGGTCAATTAATGAGTAATAATTGACAGTTATGCGGCCATTTTGATGTATAACTGTGAGTAGTGAATTATGATACAGACATGATCAAAAAATAGCACTACAGCAACACATACGAGATGAAAAGACGCCTTTTCAATTAAAACTTCTTGATTTCTGTTGAAGCCCTATGTGGACATAATGGAATAGTAATAATAATTTGTAGTGGACAACTAAAAAATATGTTGATATTAAGTGCTATTTTTGATCCATTCAAGAGGAAGATACTGTTTATATCTCATGCGTTGTGTAATGGCGACTAATAAGAGTTTTCCTTCTGGTTTTTGGTTCCTATTAATTGAAATACATCATTCAGAAATAATGTACATCCGAATTCATGTTGTTCCATCCATTAGAAACTGAACAAAATAGCAAATAACAGTAAGTTACATCAGAGTCCATGGGCAATTTAAGTAAGACAGAGGCAATTAACAGAGTTTCTTATGACTTGAATAGTACATTTCAAATGTAGAATAAATGTAAATTATGTAATAAAACTGAAACATATCAAACACATTCCGAGGAAACCTTTAAATGACATCACAATGCTCAACAGGCCCTTGAGTGGGACCCCGATGAAAAGTGAAGGATCGGACATCCGAGAGGACAAGGCAGAAAGGGGTCAAATGAAGAGGAAATGGAGGCGTATGAGCAGTTATGAAGCCGGTTGAAAGTGAGGACATAAACGTCAGCGGAATATTAATGCTTCTCTGAAACCTTATGTTCCAACAGGAATGGAAAAAATGAAAGGATAAAAAAAGTAAACATATTGTCTGCCTACATTCCCACCTACCTGAACAACAATTTCTTCATCCTCTTCATCAGTCACAGGCCACCAGCCACGGGCACTTCGATTTTTAAACATTGAAAATTTAGGACAATCGCTTTCTAACTGATGCAGTCCACAACTCTTAGCTGTTTTAGCACATCGGGGTAAAGATGACAGACGCATTGTGATCGATCCTATTGATTTAGATTTTCAAAAGCAAAACATTTCAAAAAGAATTAGATTAGCATTAGTTTAAACAAAGAAATAATAATGATAAAACAAGTAACTGAAGTGTTCTGAAATTGAATTTAATCATGAGTTGACATTGGCTGGAAAACACATGACGGCCATGAAATACTGAAGAACTGTTTGGTCCTAGTGATTGAGACTCTTTGGCGCTACACATCTATAATTCCATAACGGTGGGGGTGAGGTGGGTGAAACTCAGAACCTTCAGGTTACGAAGTGAACGGATTGATATTCAGTCGCTTGGACAGCATCTAGTGAGTAGTGTATTATAACTTCTGCCAGTCCTTCACCATACTTTCTTTGATTTCCATATACAGTGACTAACTGACATTGTTCTACCAGACTGATTGCTGATTTCTTCACTTCACACCTAGTGTATTCGCTTAGCCGAACATTGATGGTTCGAATTCTCTTGGAGTTTAAATTTTCTTCTAACCGTAACCATCAACTTGTCGGCAATGTCTATTTCAGATAGTACAATTTTAATTGTATTTGGAACGAGTGAATGGGGATAGGATAGGTTTAGTGTGACAGAGAATTAATGCATCTTTCTCATTACAGAAAACAAGGGGACAAAACACTTGTAAACTGTAGTGAAATTAAAGCCTGGTAGGCAGCAAAGATGGTATAGAACTCGGTTGATAAAAGCACTGATATTTACACATCAAATTATTTTGGTACGTGTATGGAATTTTCAGCATGTGATATCGGTAGCCCGAATTCAACAGACCAACCGTTGATATCAGGTGTGCGTCGGCCAGGGATCGAACCCCGGACCATGTGTATGGTCGACGATAATCCTCAACGCTGTGCCACAAACTAAAATTTCTTTGTTTTTTATCAACATTGGATTTCTCCATAAACTATTTGGCTTTCCATACACTCAACTACTTTTTCGCTGACGTCACCTATGAGATCAGTTAAGCTTAAAACTATGCGAATTAAGTGCATGTGAGAATCACATATACACTGGAGTTTTTTTTTTATTATTTAGAGTGAATCTATTCCATTGGTAATAAATAGCAATAATCACAGAATTCGATTGCAACAATCTTTCTGTCTACTGTGTTTTTTCTCTCAGTTATCCAAAGTGTCAATCAACCACACACTGCTGATAGATAAAGTTTTGGTGAAGTCGATCATTGGCATTCAGTCAATCGCTATTGCAAAATAAAGTAGTGAAACGCTAACTCAATAATAGACACTGTATTTACTAGGTATCCAGATTGGTTATTGATTATGATCATTGTTATTATTATTATTAAGTACTAGATACAGGATATGTGATGAACGTAATTTCTACAAAGCGCTATTATGTTTAGTATCCATGCTTAATGAGTAGTCCGTTGCAAACTTCTTCCGATTTCCAGTGGTTAGTTTGTAGGGATTTGATTTTGTTTCAGATTTGATCACGGATTGATGTCAGTTAGAGAGAACCACCGGAAACCAGAGTGTAGAGGGAAGCTGTTTCGTCCTAGTTCAGGACTGTTCATCAGTACACACTCACTGGCGCTGTTCAAACCTAGGCCCTTTCGTATAAAAAGCAAGCTCGTAGACCATTCGGTCACTGGGCTCCTATCCAATGGCCCATAAATTCAAACTTCTACCTATTCGTGATTTTTAGCGTGATCACCAGCGAATGTTATAGGTGATGCTTTCTAGTGACTGGTTACAGGTTGAAGCTGATTGGGTTTCTAGTGAGAATTAGTGACCAGTGGGGTCAATGCGGAAAATTACTCACCGATGACATTGACTGGTGGCTGCGCAGAAGTGGGAATTCATGCATTGGCCATTGGATCGGATCCCAGTGGCTGAGTAGTCTATGGGCTTGCTTTGTAAACGGATGGTCCTGGGTTCGATCAGTGCTAGTGGGTGTGTACAGTGAAGAGTCCCGAACTAGGACGAATCGGCTGTCTTGTTTTAACCACGATTATCAGTATACAGTCTTTAAATAACTAACAGTGTATTAAACACTTGGTTAGTCTAATTCACTGAAGCTAGTCCCATTGAACTAACTAATTCAGTTAGACTGAAGTTTTCTGCTTTTTTATCGATCGGTTTGTTCTGGTTAACACGATTAAGATGAGTTTTTACAAGCGTCCAACCTATCACCACTTCCTGTTCGTTAGATTCTTGAATATTTATAGGAGGAGTTGTATGGAAGCCCCCCACCCCCACATCATCCAGCGTTTAGATCACTTCGAAATGGTTAGCAAACACAGTTGGCTGCTACGAGTGTTATCTAGCTACTCACGTCAACGAATCAGTAGTATGTAGCATCAAGCTGAAACTGTTTGGAAGAAATCTTGGTATGATAAGAATTTAATTCGTAACGAAAAGGATGACTGGAACGTCGAGACCGACTTTGCCTACAAGCCGAACTACTAATAACCCACGTCATTTTAGTCTCCCATAGTTCAAGTACTCTCCAACAATACTTTTTATGCTTAGCAATCATTCAGCGAACGCAGATACTTCTGATGACTGATATGTATCTCTTATTTTCAAAAGATTTATCTCGCTACAAGAAGTAAACTTGCACTTTGTATGTTTGACCAGTTTAATAACTAACAACTGAATTCATCAGTGAAATATTTCCAGATTTTTAAAAATAGGAGGTATTTCACACGATGATATAAGATTATCATTTTGTGACAAATAACATACACACAACACACTCATACAGACAAATATGCACAATAACAATTTGACATTAGTCATTACATATATATATGATGACTGCTTACATATTTCTATTGGTACAAATGCCTACGGAAAAGTGACATTCAAATAAACTGACTTCAATTTATGTATTTAGATGAAGCAATGAGAAGACGTAATTTTACTGACATTAAGACGTAATTTGTCTGAATCGATTAATGTATTTGCGCAACACGTTTCGAACAACCTGATCACACACGGACTTGTCATACGAATTTATACGTGTGAAATTAATAAAGAGTTAAGAGTTGAGAAATAGAAATAGACATGTTAAGTCAAGTTAAAAAGACATAGCGAAGGTCAAAATAACAATGAAGATCACTAAACCAAATAACAGAGGTAATAGTACATCTGCCCTGACTGGTATCAAAACAAAGTTTACCAAGGAAGGTTTAGTGTGATGACGAATTGTTTTTGAACGCATAAAGGTGGTTTAAACTTTCTAATTGCCAGCCAGCTAGGGCTTCCACAAACTTTAGGATACGCCCCAAACACGTTTTATAGATAGGTTTAAAAGATGTGTTAGTCCTGTCTCTAAAATATGTTTCGCAATAGAGGAGCTAGGTCTCCTGTTCTCACCATTAATGGGTTCTGAAGATTCCATTTGTTTCTGCAACCATTTAGGAATATGCTCTGAAGCAAGCCCTTACTTGCAGAGATCGATGAGTCCTCCCTATGTATGTGTGTCCACATGTACATTCAAATTGGTAAATACAGTGGGATGTGACATCATTTTTCGCATGTTCAGAGGGTTTAGATAGATATATTGGCTTCACATTCTCAATTATTATGATATTAGCTGCATGTAAAAAAAATTTTACTGTATATTTTGATGATTAATAAAATCCGAATAAATCTGCTGAAGAAGCTGTGGCTTACACAGCGAAACGTTCAGAGAAATCTTGTTTTTGATTTTTCTTAAACACGCTGGGATTAATTTAAATAATTTACAATAAGGTCAGAATGGTTTCCGTTGAACATTGAATGCCCATGGGGATTTTTGGTTAGTACTTTTTAAGAAATGCCCGCATTAATTCTTACCAAATATCACATACTTAAATTGTCCAATTTCCAGTTATTAAGTGACTTTATTAAAACGAAATATCCTGTCTGTGTCAATATATCAGCCACTAGTACGAGCGTTTTGATAATGGCTTGCGGTCAACCTGGTGATTTTTGAACTGAGACAATGAGTGTATGAGCCTCAAATCTCAGTGGGGACACCACCAGTCACTGGGATGTAAGAACATACTTATAGTTTTCTTAAATTTCTAGTAGTTAAACATATTGAACTGAGGTTTTTGGCATCTATTCGTGTAATTCATGGCAGATATGAATGACCATAGACTGGAAGGCTAAATTATCTTTCTGTAATAATACCAATAAAGTTAAGAAAGTCAAACTGTGAAATACAATATCTGACTTAAACAGCCTGTTGCATTATACTATTAGTTGACAGTAAACACTCATTTCACGATGAAACTAAAAGTATGGTTGAATACGTTATTACCAGACTATCCATTTTCGTGTTAGTTTCAGTGCGTGAGGCTTACCAGCTGCTTACTACCATTTAGTACTGTGACACTCTTCATGCAATCGATAGTCAGACAACCTGGAATAGTCTACTGTTTTTACAATTGATGATGATGACAACTGAACCTAAAATAAAGATGTGTCACAGCAGGATTCGAACCATCTGCCCTCGAATTACTACTACTAATACTACTAGTAATATTATTACTGAAAGTAATAGGAATAATAGCATTGCTACTACCACTAATATTCTGGCAGTCTATTAGATGGTTGGAGGTAATCGACAGGAAGCCTTAGACCTAGGTTTTGTGTTTGTCGGCACTCACAAGTCTGCAGGGAGTATCTGCAATCCTACAGGAACCCGTGTCACCCGGTGCTGTGGTCAGAGACGTTACCATTGAGTTATTCTGGCTTATAAGTCCCTTCAAGATTGCAGATACGCCTTGCAGGCTGGTGAGTGCCAACAAGCACGAGACCTAGGTACGGCTTTGCTTCCTGTCGATTGCCTCCAACCACCTAATAACAACAATTAACAGTGTCCCTTGACGGCTAGTCACCTAGAATGGCAGCCACATTGGAAACATGACTGATAGAATTCAGCCTACACCAAACAAAGGACTAGACGTATGACATGTCCAGTGTCCAGTGAAAGCATTCTGGTGGTCTACCATCTGATTCATGAGACCCGTATGCCCGCCGCATCATCCTTTAACTGTAATTAACACAGATTGTGCCCAGTTGTTTTGTTAGTGAATAATACCTTACTCTGAGTTTATTTATCACCCTAGCCTACTTCCCAGCTAAGTCTTCTTTTATCGTTAATGCTTATCATTCCTAATTAGAAGGAGATATTAGCATCTTTAATTGATTGTCTGAGATAGTCTTGAGTCAGTAGACTGTTACTGATGCCCTAGATAAGGAAAATAAAACTCTGAATAAGGGTTCATGAGGTGTGTGTGTCGTATACAACAATAAACAACTTACCAATAAAATTATCTCTGGTAATAATATCAGCATCCCATACTTGTAATGTCAATTCACAGTTAGCTTTCATCATATGCGGTTCTATGTCAAATGTTCCTTTAATAGGATAAATTATCCGATCTTCTGCTTTAATATAATCAAATGGAAATATAAAACGCCAGTTGAAATTTCCTTCACCGGATAACGATCTAGAATCATTTGAATATGTTAAAATAAAAAGAAAGAGGAGATTTACTTCGTGAACGGTGCTGAACAGGTGAGTCTATAGAAAAAGATTATAACCCAGATCAAGAGAATTTAATTCACAGTCTAGTCTTCATGGTTCTATTGAGTAGGACCTTCAGAATCCACTTGAAGAAGCCAGACCTATGTGTTCAGGAGAAATTCGTACAACCACTTTCCTTATCTTGCCCATCACTACATAGATGTAGAAAGCTGACAATTTACCGCTCATCCTAAGCTTTATTTTTAAGTTGTCGTTGTGCTAATTGTCTTATTATGCAGGCTACTCCATCTTTAATTGCTTGTTACTTAATCAATTTGAACATTCAATTATTTCTTAATTATTACTATTATTGTTCCCTTGGATTCCAAGTGGAACATAGGGCTTCAACAGAATATCTCTACTTTGTCCCATTCTCTGCAGTTCCCTTGAGCCCCACGATTGTCCTTAATCTCTGATCTTCTGTGCATACGATCGTCTAAATGTCACCCTCGGATGCACATCCAGCTAGTCGTTCCCCATTTGGATTCCACTCGAGCGATGGCCTGGTGGGCGGTGCCATTCGACGGTCTCCTCATCCGGTGCCCGATCCACCTCCATTTTCTTCGTTGACCAACAGGTTCTTGATTGGTTTGTTGCCAGAGTTTCTTGTTGCTAATTCTTTCCGGCTATTTGATCTTAAATATGAGGCGAAGGCAGCTGTTGATGAAAGCCTGCAGTGACCTGTTGGAAATCCTTTTCGTTATGCTGCCATCGTCTCTGATCCATACAGAAGAATTGACTCAACATTGGTGTTGAAAGTCTGCATCTTGTTTCTAGACTGATTTCGGAGTAATGCAGACCTCCCTAGTCTTTCCGATTCTGGCTGACTTTGACGTCCTCATCGGTTCCTTTTGTGGTTGAAACAATACTAACTGGATAAGTGAAGGAGGTAGCCTCTTTCAAATTTATTCTTTTGACAGTGATTGATGCTGATTGTTGTTGCTGTTGGTTCATTATCTTTACTACCTCCGTCTTCTTTACATTCACTTGAAGTCCTAACTTCTCTCGTAGACTCTTCAGCCAGTTTGTTGGTTTTCACCTGTAAGTCTTCTAGTTTGTATGACATCAGACATAAGTTGTCTGCGAAGTTCAAATATTCTTGGGTCTTCTTATCGGTCCAACGTGTTGCTGTCTTCTCACTCGCCACTGTCTGATGCATAATCCAGTCCACCACAATTAGGAATATCATCGGTGATAGCAGTCAACCTTTTCTTGCTCCTGTCTTCACTTCAAACGCCTCGCTGAATTTTCCGTCGTAGCGTTGTTGTATAGCTGTTGAATAAGGCTGATAAAGACTTGAGCACTGCACGCCGTAGTGTTGAAGCAGGTCCCAAATCACTTCAACGGTCAACGCTCTCTGTCGAAGACTTTTTCGAAGTCAATGAAGTCGAAGTAGGGTTTTGACTGACATTCTTTTCTTTGTTCGATGATGATTCCTAGAGTTGCAATGTCATCAGCACATGATCCGCCTTTTCTGAATCCAGCTTGTTCCGGCAGGTGCTGTTCTGCATTCAGTGCATCTTTTGTTCTCTTCATGGTGACTCAACTTAGTATTTTACTTGTCGGGACAAGAGTATTATTCCGCACCAGTTCTTACAAAGGCCTAAATCGCTCTTCATTGGTATTTTGACAGGGTAGCCTTTTTTCCAATCAGTAGGTACCTTCTCTTAATTACTCCACTTACTTTTCCAAAATTATGCACTGCGTAATCTACTTGTTGAATTTTTCTAAATATTTCTAACCCTTAATTGTTGCATGATTGTCTCGGTTAGTTATCACCATCTCCTCTTGACAATTTGATACTGAGTAATTACTGTTAACAAACTAGACTGCTAAATTTTCGTATTGTAAGAAAAGCTGGAGTATATTTTAAGTAAGTGTAGTTTGCTGTGTTGCATGATGGTGTATAGTAATCTCTGTGAGTAATTAGAAACTGCTTCAGGTAACCAGTAGTGTTTTTGTGCTTGATCTAAACATCGAACAGTCGTTTCACTAGTTCAAGGCTGATGTACCCAAACTGACACACTTCAGAGAGACGAATCACCCGGACTCAGGCTGGCTAGCTACCTAAGTGAAGAAAACTTACCATGGGTTCTTTTGCATCAGATCACGTATTTTGATCAGAATATTTTGGGTTCGCAAGGGAAGCTGTATTAAAATTTTTACCTTGAAATCAGTGATAAGCAAACTGCATGTATGTGCTTTAACTTTTAATAACTTTCTGACTGCTGCCGGTCCATGAAGAGGTCAGCATTTAGACTAAAGACCACAGAGATATCGGTCACCGCTATCCGATGATCAGTTCGCGCACAGCCAGTTTTGATCTTATTATTAGTTAGATCAGTGGAAATATTTCCGGTCTTGTCAGATCATTGAATTATTCAGATTTGAATGACTATCCAACTGTCATCAGTTCACAATTGAAGGTCAGTTTGAAATGATGTGAAAATAATTCCTTTATTTTACGCATCTTTTCAAATATTTACTTATTTATTTATTTATTTGATAATCACAATAATAATAGTTATCATGAATAAACTGTATTTTTATTTTTGTCATGAGGTTAAGGTTTCGAAAATGTTTACTAATTAACTTTATTTAGATGTCAGTCAGTTGACACAGTGAATGAACATCAAATTTGTACGTGATTAAAATTAGCGCTATTGGATGATTTTTGAAGCTGGAGGTAGTTATTTATTTAAATTATTCGTTATACAAATGAAGGTCAAACATAGTAAAGTGATAGTGTGGACTTGATGTATTGGTGTCATTGTTGTGGTCAAACTACGTCTAACTCCCTTCTAACTTAATTCTACTTCAGCTAGTACAGTTTGATGAAGACACCCATAAGTCAATATTTCTAATACCTGCCATAGATACTTTAATCAACGGAGCTTCAAAGTGCATCAATTAGCCTTCCTTCCCTACCTAATACTAAGTGTCTGAACACATCATCAGTGACGACATCGCTCCACATAACACTACAGACTGAACAAAGGCTAATAGGATTAAAAGACGCTAATCCTTTTTACATGTTCCACCCACAACAGCCATCTCTCAGCTGTAAATTAAGACAGGACTAAATACTGAGCAGTATACACATCATTTGAATGCGCAAAAAATTATGCAAACTGCCAGATGTCAAACAAAACCCGTGTACTGCCACTCATATTTCTCCAGCTATCGGGCATTTACAGATGACGCAACTCCCCCAGATAAGCGAGGCGACTGATAGTCGGTACAGAACAATCATGTAACAAAATCTTGCCTTTCAAAGGAGTGAGCTGTGAATGTAACGTACTGAGATATTTGCTCAGTGTTCTGGGGACTGTATTTTATCAGTGTCTTCACTCAGAAGGAGTATGTCATCTGTATACTGCAAATCAGTATGAGCTTCCCTGATAGTTAGTCAATCTTTGAGACATTATATTTGACATTAAACCACACTTATTATAGAATTAAATAAAAATGGTGGTGGTGGGCGTTCCTGAAAAGTATCACTGGTTGTACCCAAATTAGATGGAAATCCTCCGTAAACACTTGCACAGCTTAATGGGTTCAAATGGAGTAACTAGAATGCTACAACATATTTTATCGGTGCTTTCTTCACAACTAGAAATTGCCACAACACCTCCCGACTGACAAAGTCATATGTGGTCTTCAGTCTAAGACTTATGAACACAGATAAGTGTGACTCCATTATAGATAAGATTTTATTTTGATGAATCACACAGTGTTATACAGTAATATTACTGTATAGAAGAGTTTTGTGCGCTAGTGAAGGTGTTTAGGTGGTTGCCACTTTCCAGCTGCTCACACCTCGGAAGCTGATACCTTTCTGAAATGGAAGACACTTCAGCTTCACCTGATTTCACAGCTCCAGGGACAACTGCTTGAAGCCAGTTACATATAGATCGTTTGGAAATAGCGTATAGTTCGTATGGAAAACCTTACAGTCAGCTACAAGGTAATTTCAAATGTACGATCAACGCATTCTAGCCCTCTATCCCATGGGCTAAAAGAAAGTATACCTGACCTACTGGTCAGGTATTATTACTGTTTCTACTAATAGTAAGATGTTGACTTTAGACTCTAACTACTGTGTAACCTATGCTATTATGGTAAGTCTAATCCCTACCAAACTAACCTTTCTGGAATGCGAGGACTTGCAGAAACATTCCTTCTAGCAAACATGGCTAGTTTAATTATTTCAGTATGCGAGATCGATCGTGACACTGCGGTGTCAGCTACCAGTGGTGGTGAATTTAACAAACTTCTGTTAATGTTATTCTATAATAAGCGAATATTTGTGCATACTGACTAAATATGACTAGCAGTCATGTGCTCTTATTATTGCTGTCAAATTGTCATTGAAATATTAAATGATACCAGACTTATTTATGTATGTGTAGAGTATGCTATTTGTATGTTATGAAAAACATGTTGATTGATGAGTGATAATTATGACCATTACTCATAGGCTAAAAGTGAACTTATTTTTCATTTAAGGACTCTATCTGGCAATGGTTTGCCATATTTATTTGCAAATTTAAATAAGTAGTTTATATTCCAATCTTAGATTTGTAGGCATTAGATTAATCTCAGTGTAGTTTTCGTTAAGAATGGAGTTCGTCTGGCGAACCATTGAAAATGCAACAGCACGCATCGTCTGCCTCCTTCTCATTCGGGTTATTTATCAGTGCTCACCCGTGATCCCACCAGTGATCGGACTTAGAATCTCCAGACTATGAACCAAACACTTTTACCACTTAGCTGCTGAATTAGTAGCCAATAACTCGCACATCCTAAATGCGTCAGTAGTTTAGCGGTAGAATGCGTTCCAACCACACAGGTGTTCCTTGGTCCGACTCCTGGTCTCCGACGCGCTCCTAACCTTTGCCTAGTTTACTAGCCGAAAGTAAGTCTGGGAAAGAGGAGAGGTTAGGCGTGAGGCCTAGCAAACCGCTCCGCTCGTAAGATTTAGATATAATAGAGAAGATTTGTAGCTCAGGTGGATGATTTTGATGTGGTTGTGTTCTCTGAGCTGGATAGTTAATTTGCGAAGCTTTCATCGCCCTACTAGGCGACATCTTCAGCATATACATCAATTTGAAGTGAGATTTTAGATTTCTCCTTCGTCTTCGTATCCACGAACATAAGCTAGCCATCAAAAGACATGATATCCACTGCCTCATATCACTACATACACACAACCACAGACATCAATCCGGCTGGGACAACGTTCAAATATTAGCCAGGAAACACCAAGAACGCTAGAGAATTTTAGAACCTTGGCATTCCAATGAATCATCAATCATTTGACACATCGAGATAGCCAAAATTTATCAACCGATAAGAAAGAAACCTCACAATTAAAGGGTCAAAGTTCAAGTCAAAGAAACAATCAATTCCAATACAAGTAACCTAGAAGGTGTGAAAACACACAAAAACAACCAATCACGTCCAAGGTCACCAGGAGAGATGATTAATAAACTCGTGGAGAAATCTAAAAGCTCACTTCAAATTGAAGTATACGCTGAAGATGTCACCTAGTAGGACGATGAAAGCTTCGCAAATTAACTATCCAGCTCAGAGAACACAACCACATAAAAAAACCGCTCCGCCTCCAGAAAAACAATATTACGGCTAGTGAAAATTAAAGACCTTAAGCTTGAAGCCCTATAGTTCCACTCGGAACTCACACAATGCTTTGTTTTCAGTAACTTTGTAAATGATGTCGGTTCACCATGATGACTATTTGCAAAATAATCTTGTGTCATTGGTTAACAGGTTATCACAGCGCTTATACACTAACCTATAATGAACATCGGTTTTTTGATCATCAATACCAACACCTTTTATCCATCCTTTAACATAAATATCAGAACTTCTCTCTGATGAGAATAATGATGTATCAGTGAGTTTCACCTAAATAAAAAGAGAAAAACAAATCACAAAAGAAAACTTATCAGCAATAATGTAAAATAATACTAGTAGTCATATAATTATTGGTGGATTATACTGCGAGTTCAACTACTAAATGACTCTTACATGTGTAACAGAAGAACTGGAATTCTATGGATTCTATATGAGTGACAGATTTGTAATTCTAAGAAATTAGCATGACCTTATGGGTATACTACAGAAATTTAATCAAGTCCACCGAATGTCGGGTTTACTTACTAAAGAAAGCTAGAACATAGGAATTGTATGGAGGATTTCATCATGAGCTGACATCAGTTAGAGAACCGCTGGAAAACCTGGGAGTACTGGACAGCTGCTTCGTCCTAGTTTGGGACTCTTCATCAGTACGCACCCATCGGGATTCGAACCCAGGACCTTCTGGTTACAAGGTGAGCTCGTAGAACATTGAGCCACTGAGACCCGATCCAATGGTCCTTGAATTCTAACTTCTGCCAGTTCACGACATAGCGCTACCATTTCGCAATGTCTTTTTCGATGAGTTACTGCCTCATCTTCAACCTGCTGTACCCTACTGGTCACGGTTTCCCATAGGAATTACTAAAAAGATGCTTGCAACCAATAAGAAAATTTTCCTTTTCCATGAAGTCATCAACTAGGCTGTATTATTATTATTATTATTATTATTATTATTGTTCCCTTGGGTTCCTAGTGGAACATAGAGCTTCAACTGCACGTCTCCACTTGCTTTTGTCTTCTGTCGTACTTTTCAATTGCATTCATGTTAGTCCATGCTGCTTCAACTCCTCTTCACACGATCTCCTCCATGTCAACCTTGGACATCCCACTCGCCTCTTCCCTTTCGGCTTCCACTCGAGCACTGGCCTAACGCGCGATGTCACCCAGCGAGTGGCCTCCTCAGCGAGTGTCCAATCCATCTCCACTTTCTCCTGCATATTTGTTGAGCGATTGATTCTTGCTTTGTTTGTTCCCATTGTTTCTTGTTGGTGATTCTTTCCAGCCCTCTGATCTTCAGTATAGAGCGAAGACAGTTGTTGTAGATAAAGGTCTGCAACAGGCTGCTGGAAATATTCTTTGTGACCCGCCAAGTTTCTGATCCATATAGGAGAACTGACTGACTTGACGTTTGTATTGAAAATCCGAATTTTGTTGTTGATGCTGAGTGACGAAGATTTCCAGATTGGTTTCAGGTTGATGAATGTGTTCCTCGCCTTCCCGATTCTCGATTTGACATCCTCGTCCGTTCCTCCTGTAGTTGAGACAATGCTCCCTAGATAAGTGAATGAAGTAACCTCTTTCAAATCCCTCCCGTTGATGGTGATTGGCGCTGGATGTTGCTGCTGCTGTTGTTGTTGTTGGTTGGTTATTTTCATAACCTTCGTCTTGTCTATGTTCACCTGGAGTCCTGTCTTTGCTGCTTCTTCGACCAGTTTGTCGGTTTTCGCTTGTAAGTCTTCGATTTTGTGTGACATCAAACATAAATCATCCGCGAAATGCATTTATAGTAAACGGGAGAGAAAGTTCCAGAACTATTTCTTGTCAAGAGTCAAATTTATAAAAATACAAGGTGTAACAAACAGGAAGATCGGATAAAAAACAGTCAAGTTTCGTAATAATTATGATCCTACTATGTTTTTTTATCCGGTCTTTCTGTTTATTATACCTTGTAATTTTATTTGTAATTTGACTCTTGACCGGAAATAGTTCTGGAACTTTCTCACCCATTTACAATAAATACACAAAAGGAAATTTTCATCTTGGCTACAAACATCTTTTTAATAATTCCGATGATCTAAAGTCAGAATAATTTCAACTCATTTTTGGATACTATATAACAATGAGACGAGTAGATCAATTAATGAGTTGAGGGTTGGACTAAGGTCCTGTACTTATTATTATTATTATTATCAACAAGGCATGTCTGCAATCTTGAAGAAACAGATATCCCTTTTGAAGATTTGAACTCATATTATCCAGTATTGCAGTCAGAGACGTTACTACTGAGCTCCTCAAGCTCATGGTAATAAATAGCCTCATTGAAGATTGTCCCTAATGCGACGGTCTGCTTAAATCCCTCGGCTAACAAAACTTCTATCCATCATAGTACTTGAACTCTTCCGCATATTTTTAGTTTTAATCATGCAATTATATCTATTGATCGCTATATGAATTAATAGAGAAGATTTGTAACTCAGGTCAATAATTTTGAATTATATATATATATATATATATCATTCAGGGGGAATTCAAATGAGTTCATTCCATACTAAAGCCTGCTCTGAAGATGTTTTCTAGAAGGACGACAAGCTTCGCAATTAAATCAACCAGCTCAGAGAGCATAACTAATTCGTTATACGAATTCGCGCACATTTCAGTTTAGCTTTCGAGAAAAAATGCTTTACAGTTCTCGAGGGAAATGAAGGAAAACTATCTCAGGGAATTGGATATTTGTTCATATGGAACAACAATACATCACATGGTATTATTATTATTGTTTCCTTTAATTCCTAGAGGAACATAGGGCTTCAGCCGCGCGTCTCCATTGCGTTCGGTTCTCTGCTAGAGTCTTCACCTGACTACAAGTCTGCCCACACGTTTTCATCTCCTCTTCACATGACCTCCTCCAAGTCACCCACCCTCGCACTGACGACCAACTCGCCTCTTCCCTTTCGGGTTCCACTCGAGCAATGGCTTATCTAGTGATGTCTTTTGATGGTTTCCTTAGAGTATGGCCAGTCAATCCATCTCCATTTCTTCCTGCCTATTTGTTTCACAATCGGTTCCTGCTGTGTTGGTTCGCTCACTGCCAGAGAAATCTGTTGCTGATCTTTTCTGGCCGGACATCTGATCTTGAGTATTGAGTGAAGACAACTGTTAATGAAGGTCTGTAGTTTGTTTGAGATGCTCTTTATGACGCGCTGGCCAAGTCTCTGATCCGTATGTTAAGTAGCACTGACTTCACATTGGAGTTGAAAATCTGGATCTTGTTTTTCATGCTGAGTGTTGTTGACCTCCACACGGACTTGAGAGTAGTGAAAGCTTGTCTTGCTTTTCCGATCTTTGCTTTGATATCCTCGTCAGTTCCGTCTGTAGTTGAAACGATGCTTCCGAGGTAGGTAAAAGAGGTTGTTTCTTTCAGGTTCACATGGTATACTGAAGATTATTATTTTACTTATACATGTTGCATGAAGAGGAAGTAAGTATTCTACAATGCTCAGAATTTCAGCGTATCGGTTTACTATTATTAACACCTCTTCAAAGTACTCCGTGATGGCGAGTTACTTAGCCTGGTGGCCAGAATGAAAACTCACTTGATCGAATTCAGTTTCCAACAGCACCAAAGACTTGGTATATGTTACTGACTACAACCGGTTTTTCGCTTTCCTCAAGGTTCACTTTATTTTTGATTGACATATAATATTTGGGCAGACGGCGTGTAAATATAAGTGAAATATGTTCCGGACACTTTAGTGTATACAGATTCACAATCTCATTTTCCCACAAGACTCCTATACTGAGGATAATTTAAATTATTCAAATGCATTACACTAAAGAGGTTAATAAAAAGAAAATACCAGACTTACTTCAGCTGTATTCCATATTATAACACGTAGTTCATATGCTGCTGGTACACGTGGGGATATATCAATAGCTGGTGGAGGGACAGCAACTTCTCTTTCAAATAAATCAATCCACATTTGTAAACGACCTTGGATTAGGCCAGGATTATCTGGATGTTTCAGAGAACGTGTCTCTACATGTTCAGTGACTAGTTTTATATCCTTATTGATAATAGATGACCAATTATGCAGTGCTTCCAGTGCTAACGGTTCAACGGATTTAATTGTAATGCCTAAAACAATTTTTTTTATTTTGAGAAAAATAAGTTTATTAAACTTTAGATAATAAGATGGATAAAGGATAATTTACAGTGACCAAGGATAAGCCATTAGTTCATTGGGATGTGTTGTCATTCGTTTTATGCTGTTGTTTCTCAATTCTCCCTGTACCACTGCTTGCCTGGTTACATACAAACTCATGTCACTTCTTAAGACATTATTCAGAAAAGCCAGGAAATACTGCAGCACTGCTGCCTTGAGGTGAACAGAGGAGGAGTATATTATGACCATCTTCTAGAAAAGGAGATATCCAGGATCCTTCATCAAAGATGCCCACTTTGAACCCAACCAGCCAACTCAAAGTTATGTATTCGGAATGCGTTTTCGACCATACTTAATGTCTGTGTTGATTTAATTGATGAAAACATGGACCTCAACAGTCGTCATTCCATATAGAGCAGAGACGTCAGATGTTATCAGAAGAGTACTTAATTAGCTCGACATTAGAGTTTTCTTCAAAACATCAGACACACTGCGAAACAACCTTGTCCATGTAAAACATCAAATCCCTAAAGATTCTCTATCTAATTGTATCTATAAAACGAAATGCTTGGAATGTGATGCGATATATATCGGACAAACATCTCGGGAAATCAAAATCAGAGGAAATGAACACCGTAGATCATCTGTTCGACCACCAAGAAATCCGGTTGAACTAGAAAAACTTGAAAAATCATCAGCCATAGGTCTACACGCTATAGAATCAGGCCACAAAGTTGATTTTGACAATATTGAAATAATCCAGAAAAACTTCAGAAATCACAAAGAACGTCTAATATCAGAAGCACTTCATATCAACTGGAATCCAAATTGGCTGAATAGGAATGACGGACTAAAACAGAATCTGACCTGGTTACAACACCTAAGTCTATTTTCTCACCCCTTAAGTCTTTGTTATATATATGCTAAGATTTTGTAAATTCCGGTTTAATAATACTCTGATGAAGCCATTAGCATTAAATAGCGAAACGACGGTAAAAACAATATAGTTTTGTTTTTCATTCATTGGGAAATACAAAAACCTTTATTATAATAGATTAAACTGTGTTATTATCATCTATGTAACCATTGAAATTTCAGGCAGTCTGCAGCTGATGAAAACCTGTGAAATAGAATGATATCATTTTATCCTGCAAATTTCGTCTTCCTTTCTTTATCGAAATTTATTTTTATTTGTTTGTTTTTCTAACTCATGTATTTCTTTAGAACCCTTGCATGATTCGATATTTTTCCTCATATCTATGTGCATGCTGACTACAGCTCATACAGTCATTAAACTGTTTGTCTTATTACGTAACTCTAATATACTTATTCAACTCCTGTTATTCATTGAGTAATATTATGAACTATGATTATGACAACTTATCACTTTCATGAAAACAATTATGTATAAATATGACTGTACGGCTAAAGGGGGAAATGAATAAACCAAAAAAGGATCTCTCGTCTTGTTTTCATTAATTTATTGTTACCCCTAAACCTACCTTCGTAATTTTTATTCAATTATAATACTGAGTGTCATGTGAATCATTATGCTCTATACTCCTGTATCACCTACTGTTTTTCCATATTAGTTTGTTTATTAGATATATCACACAGTGAAACAATATTATTCACTGGATGACGTTTCGAACAAAATTTATTGTTCATAATCATATCAATTGTAATCACACGACTTTGACACTTGAGTTTTATAGTTTTCTTTGTTCTCTCCTATTTGTCGTATGGGTAGTAGAATTTTCCAGATATCGGGGACAGGTGATGAATCATTCCTACTACATGTATTTGTAGTTGATTCGACAAATAGGAAAGAACAAAGAAAACTATAAAACTCAAGTGTCAAAGTCGTGTGATTACAATTGATATGATTATGAACAATAAATTTTGTTCGAAACGTCATCCAGTAAATAATACTGTTTCACTGTGTGATATACCCAATAAACAAACTAATATGGAATTACTTACTACCACAGTGCCCAAGTTTTACACATATACATAATATCACCTACTGTTTTGCTTATTTTATTTGATCCTTCTTTTCTCCAAGATTCATGTAAACTGAATTGACAGCTAAATGTGTGATCAGATTGTACAAAATGTAGTTTTTAAATATCGGCTGGTCGTTTCGTAATTAAATGATATTCTAATACTTGTAAGGAAACAGGATGTGCACGTACTCGCTTCGCAACGTTTTTCAATACAAGATATGTACGATGCTAACAAAGTATCCTGTCTCTTGACTGACTGACATCGAATCCTTTTTTTAACAACAATTCACTTACAAAAACTGTCTATTTTGTGTGCAGATATATACAGAAGAAACATCGGAATACCAACAGCGTAATTAAAGAAACAACTTAATGAGACTTTTCTACAATGTTCAATTCACATGTAATAACACCATTTACAGACAAAAGGAAAAGAATGCTGAATTCATTTTCTGAAAATTCACACATATGCTAAGTCTACTTGTTAGTAGTATAAAATCTTCAAAAAATAATTAATTGAACTTACCTGTTTCACTACGAATTTCTGTATTACCATAAAATGATTCATTACCAATTGTAACTTTATTTTCTAGTATATTATAAACCGGTTGTTCAATCCCATACTTCTCGCAGAGTTTTGCCAGTATCTCTGTTGGCTGTTGACTATCTTTCCATTGACAATAACCATGACTGAAAGAAAATAGGGAAAAAATAGTTGGAGTTAAATTAATTATTCAATTTCCCAATGTAAATATGAAAACAAGAACAAGAAAACACAAGTGAGTACATACTCCTCTTCAGATGTGACGAGTAAACATAGAGGAATGTGTGCTCGACCAAACTGTCATTGGAGGACATTTCAAAGAATAGATTTTGTTTCTGTCATTCCTTGTGTTAAGAGTGGAACACAGGGTTTCAGACGTGCTAATCTCCAGTAACACTGGTGTTCATATTTTACAAGGTAGGATTGCTAGCCTCATGTCAAACCTCCAGTCATTTCCAGGCTTACTACCGCCTGGGAGGCTAAGCGAGGTTTAGGGATGCGTCGGCCAGGAATCACTGACGCACACAGAGTATATTATAGTGTGGTCTAAACTACTGATCGATGTGAGTAGTACACACCGCTACTTTTACTTTCTTAATTGACTTTATTCATATCAAGCAGGTCACACATATTATGATTTCGGTCTCCAAGGGAAAGAGTGGTGAATTATCACTTCCAAATGTGTCTGGGTAGTGCAAGTGTGGAAATTCGCAAATGATAAATTAGCACCAATGATGTTTGGTTTATCGGGTCAGTAGAATTCTCAAGGCAGTAACGAATAGTTGTCAGTGAATAGAATTTGTGAAGGTAAAAGGAACTCTGACTTCTGCCTTTTTAAGAATCCTAACTTGGGTTTTCCTATAATTTCTGCTTTATATGGTAGTGCTAAAAATGATGTAAATTCGTTCATTATATCTTCCCTTTTTATGAATTCTTTTGAATGTCTGAATAAATTACCAAGAATGATATTAACAATCACCTTATTCTGAATAATACACTCCGTTAGTATTTCGCTGCAAAATATTCACTCATTCTGATGTAGAATCTTCATGTAAATCAATAATCCACAGTATACAATTTACACTATATTATTATATCTGAAACACTCTTCAAAACCCCTTTCCCTCTACCTTAATCGTATACTTCTTTCACAAAATGCGTAACAGAATAGTGAAGGCTGTTTGTGTAATACTGTGGTATTGGTTCTATGAGGAGAAGATAAACTTACGCATAATATTTAGGCATAAGACCACATGTGGCACGATGAGCACTATGGAAACGATTTTCTATATCAATGTGAGTTTCACCAATAAGCGTATCTGCTCCTATTCTTTCATGGTCCATTACCTAGAAAAAAAGAAAACGTGATAAACGAATCAAACGTCTTCACACAGGTCGTTGATTTACTTGAACCAGATCAACTCATCTCATTTATCCTTTGAGCTTCTTAAACGGCTGATATCATATTGCTGTGAGTTATAACTTCTCAATGATACTATCTACTAGGAGAGCATGACTTACATTTCATCTTATTTGAAGCTCATCACTTGGATGAAACTGCATCAGTGACTCGAACCTACGTCCTATAGATTCAAATGCAGGAGCTTTACTTCACTAAAATACTAAGGCTTTGAAACGATGGATGGAAAGCTGTGAGAAAAAAACCACCAATCACTGAGATGCAGGTATAGTCAATATCTTACTTAGTGTACACCTAGATGTATCTTTGTTGATTTAACTGCACTATTACCCTTCGTGTGTGTGTGTGTGTGTACTTAATACTGTTATCTAGGAGTTAATTTTGATATCGAAGAAAATCAGCTAACGGAATTTATTCAGTACAAATAAGAAAACTATTGTCAGTGAATGTTTTCTAGTGCTATCTATAGACTAAACATTTCTCCTTAACGTGGATCAAGGGTTATGTCATTCATTACTTATGGCTGCATTACTGATGGCTTAAAACATCACTAGAATCACTATCTATGTGGTCAGTTATACATTAGCGTGTGAGCATATATAACGGATTATACGGTTAGAATACTCTTGATTTCTAAAGTAAATTACGAAGAGTTATATCCTTGATATAAGTATAAAACTTGGGCACTGTGGTAGAGTATAACTCCATTATGGATAAGATTTTATTTTGATAAAGCAGCACACAGTGTTGTATAGTAATATTAAGTGATGACCACGTTTCGAGCACAAACTATTGCTCATAATCATATCAGGTCACTCAAACAACTTTTTTCCTTCATTTATATACATGAGTAAAATTGATAAGACATTTGAATAAAATGAATAATAATAATAATAATAGTGTTATCAATCAAATACAATCAGATGGGAAATAAGACGAGTGTTTCTATAGTCATAATAATTAACTTGTTAGAATGTTGTGATGTGCTTGAATTGAAATAGAATTTTGAGATTATTTATTATCCTCTTCTGATTTGACCGGAGGTAATAATATCTTCCATATCTCTGGTATTTGCATTGAGTCATTTCTGTTGCATGTGTTGGGTGTAGACTCGATGAACCAGGCAGGATTCAGTAATCAATCTCTCTCTCTAATAAAGGTTTTTGTATTTCCCAATGAATGAAAAACATTGGGAAATACAAAAACCTTTATTATAATGAATATCATATACCCAATGCCCAAATTTTTTCAAACCGTTAAAAGTCAACTTGGTTTGGACATATATAATCTCTCTCTCTACCTACCTATATTACTTTTAAGAATTTTGACTCTGTCCTACCCTATTGTACAGTTTCGCGTTAATGCATGCAGTACAACTGATGAGCCTTTTTCTAAATTACTTATCATCGTGGGGTGAATCATTCTAGACTTAGCTAAATTCTGACAGGCAATCTAACTGCTCTTGATCTACTAGTTTGACCTGTGTAGTTGACTTAACTCAAGTCATTGTAAGGTATTTTGTAAATCATATTATTTTGTCTAACTGGGTCAACTTAAAGGGTCCTTTAACCTACCTACAGAGCTTGTCCAACCTGAGTGGGTTTGTAGGTTTGAATCCCACCCTAGTTCCTGCTTTAGTGAGAATCCTACGAAGGGTCTCAGATATCCCCCACTCCTTTTGGTAGAAATGTAGATACCTTATATTCTTTCTTATTTATGTTATCATTATTAGTTTCACCATTATTTTTATTTTACTTTTGACCTCTTTTGATATTCCTAATGAATTTTATACGATAGTTATTTAACACCAACGCCTCTTCTTCTATCTGTTTCATTTCATTGTTTAAGTTTAGGCTTTTATAGTTCACTGTGAATTTTGATTCGAAGTTTCACTTGAAGACAAAGAAATAACCTTCCAGTGTTTGTATCACCTCAATCTGTCTAGCGAAGACTATTCACTGATTTGAGTGGCGTTCAAACCAGTTAGTGGTAATTGATAAGTTTTCTTTGACTGTCGAGGGATCCTTGCTACTTTTTAATTCATGAATAATTCCCATTCGGACATTAGTAGACATGCATACATTCTGCACCTCCTGACTATTATCTCTTTTCCAGAATAGTAGAACTTCAGCTGATATTTTTCGCTGAGGATACGGAGAGTCGGCATGTGTAGCACATACCCTATCCATTTCAATCGGCAAAACTCCTGGAGATCGTTATCTAAAGCTACCTGTCACTATTAACATTTCGATCCCCACTATACAGTCAACCTGATGAAATCGCTTGTAATCTAGGACTAATAACTTATTGACGATTTCGCTTTCAGCTGCGGCATTTTCTAACTTATACATATATATATATACATATATGTATAAGTTATCTAGCAATCCAGCATGTCAACTTACCTGTATACTGAGCAGAGAATCCATTGGTAAGTGGGCAATAAACTCATAATATTTTCCGAATATAGGATTCAGGGTTTTCGGTTTATAATCATCTCGATCATTGATAACATTTTTACCCAATGAAACAATTAAATACGGATCAGATTTACCGTTTGTATCACTTGGATGCAATTCAATCGCCTGATTAAAACACAAACATCAGAAGACATTTTAAGTATTTTTCCGAAAGAAAACTATTTAGATGCGAAAATATGGAGGCAAATGAATTCTGATAGTAGTTAAATTGAGTAGTATATAGAGAATTCATAGAAGAAGAAGAAGAAAAGGGAATTTCATTACTAGATGTTTTTCAATTAATTGGGAATTTCCATTACAATTCATTTAACATTCTGTAAGAGATTCAGTTCAGAGTCTTCACTTCTGATATCGACAAAGTCACTAATAAGTTCGGATGGCAAGTGACTACACAACATGATGAATTTCAATTTGAGAAGTATTTGACTTTTGGTTAGGCTGTAATGTGTGTGGTAATGTAAGCTCAATTTCACTGATTAAATTCTTCAAGACAAACTTAACGGGAGTTGCTGGAAAATTAAACCTATAAACTCTATCAACTCACTGCGAAGTACTATTTAATTCTCAATTCCCTTAGATGGGATCTGATTCTTGATTAGGTCATTTGACTGGACCTCTTAGGGGGCTAAAATATCAAAGACTGTAGATTTTCAATAGAAATCATATATACATATATATACTTTTCCCGACTGATTGGAACTAGCTGAAACTGCAGTCAACATTTAAAGAATCAGTTGCTGGGGTACAAGGTTTTATGTTAGAAAATTATATTTATTTTGCTGCGTTGATAGGTTAATTTAACTGGAAAATTTCGTGTTTATTGCATCCAGTCAGAACAAACTGTCTCGTCAGTAATCTAGACCGAAATTATGTGTGTGTGGAATTGTATATCATGACATATATACATATTAGAGTCGTCAGTACTATCAGAGGCCAGTATTTACCTTCTGACATTTTCGTTGTTCAGTGAAGTAGAGGATACTGAGTGGTAAAAGCTGTATAAAGGTATCTCATCACGTTCTAGCACTTATCCTTATATTACTCAGGTCTGAGCAAAAATATAAATATTTTGTGGTATTAAGTATTGTTGTTACATAAGCACTCAAAAGTTGTTGCAAGAGTTTAATAACACCTGTGCATTTTCTCCTTGTTTGCTCCCACCGAGTATTGTAAATTGATATGATGCACTTATGCACCATACTTCAAGACCACAGACATGTCTTACTTACTTGTGAGTGCCAACAAGCACGAAACCTACGTCGAAGGCTTCCTGCCGATTACCTCCAACCATCTAATATTATTCGGACCAAAATGACTAGTAAAGTTTATGGAATGTGTTGTGATACCTTGATTTACACTCATGCGCCAGTGACAAAGTGAAAAAAGGAGACAAATAAAGGACTTTCTCCATGTTGGGTCAATATCAGTTGTACAATCAAGCCTAGAGAAGTAACTCTGCAGTATCTGTGCCGCACTATTGTCTGCAATTGCTTATAGAAGGTGGAAATCGTACATCATAGCCAGTCGACAAGAACACTTAGATATCTGAAGACAGCTCTGATAGGGTGTCACCTCTCCGGTAACTCAGAGGTCACTGGTTTAAAGTATGATAGTCTAACGAGGTACACAGAGGTCTCCAATGTAGAATTACATGCAGAAACGACGAAACGTAGACAAAAATAGCAACACAAGCTATGCACTTTCTGCTTCCTTCTGTTTTTCTCTATTCTGATTCACAATTTATTACATTCCTTTAGTTTGCAACTTTATTGGTCGCTTCTGTGTTCATGACATCTGTATAGGATATTAAAGTATGTATGTAGTTCTTATGAAGTCTTGTAAACAGAGTAGGCCACATTGTGGCTCCAGCTTTAGTCACAACAACATTTATCATCTCCTTAGTGTGTAGCAGTTTTTGGTTTGTAGAATATGTTGAAAAAAATTGTTCACACTTACTCTTATAACGTATAAGCGTACAGTTAACTTGACTTTTATTTTGCTTGGCAGCGTCTTGTATAACCGTAATTGTGACATTTCAGTTGGTAAAGGCTCATCATCATTCACCGGATAAATGATTAAATTACCCTGAATTCAAAACAAGTTATCGGTATTAATATTACAGGGATAAATAATATATAAGTAAAATGTTTTAGATAGTTGAATATTGACAAGTGAGTGAGTATTACGGATGAGCAGTTTAATAAAATATTATAACTGCTAAGTTCTTGTCTTGATGCCTGGATATCGACTGTCAGACATTAACATCTAAGATAATACTCCGACTAGTCCAGCTAGCTTCGACGACACACTAAAGTTGTGGAGTTATGTTCCTCTAAGCAGGAAGACGAACCTCATATTGTTCTCTTTCGTCAATTATCTGTAAAAAGATGTACCGAGGAATCTATTGAGGAACTTCAAAATCTCCGAGGAATCTTGATTGAAAAGAATCTAAAGCCAATGGAAAATTCTAAGTCGAAGTTGCACCCCCCGAAACATGCTGCTGCTGCTTAACATCGAATTTAAAAATGAAACTGAGGCAGGAATTCTCCGTAAACGGCTTTCGAAATCTCTCAGTTATTGCATTATCTGCCTCCAACCTACGAGTGACATTTTCTTGTATGAAACTATTCTCTAACCACGCGAAAGACAAGATGTCTCACTAGGCCACTTCGACATGCATAGTCCACTTCACATGGTCTTGCGGAGCTAAGTACAGTGGCTGTACCATGCGTCCACTTGTAAAACGCACTCAGGAACACTATCCAGCCTGTCTGGCATAGGGAAAATGTAAGTGTGTATTTAAGTCGGTAAGAGAACATTTGATGAACTCAGAACATCCAACTCCATTTGAAAAATCCTTCAGGATCATATACAAAATCCGTTCAAACCTCTCAAAGGGAACGAGATCAAGGCATTTAGACATATCTGAGGAACTAGCGATCCAAAAGTTCAAGCCAAGGTTATGTATCCAAAAGAAATACGTCTCTTCCACAGTTATCATAAATAGTCAATCCTCTCAACAGTGATTATCCTATTACCTTTCTTATCCAAACTTCCTGTTTATTTCGGTTATTTTTACATTTTTTAAAATCTCTATTTGCACTAGTATGTTTTTCATCAGAACTTCCTGTCTGTTTTGTTATTACTACTACGTTTTTAAACTTTTGTTGCACAGAAAGTCAATTTCTTCAGTAATTATGACCCTACCATGTTTCTAGGCGATCATCAAGTTTGTTATTACATTTTAATCCCTATTTGCAACTTTATCAACTTGACCCTTGACTGGAACTAGTTCTGGAATTTCCCCCCCCAATTCCTATAAATACACGAATGTACAGCGTAGTTGATAACTTCGTCAAAAAGGAAGTTTTCTTCTTCGCTCTAACCGTCTTTATTATATTTCCTATGACACACTAAAGGACAACAGAATGTGTATTCAGACTGAAGATACCCAGTTATAGTAACACCTGAGAATATCAGCTGTCAATTGATATGATTATAAACAATAAAGTGTGCTCGAAAAGTCTCCCCCCCCCATTGAATAATACCGTTTCACTGTACGATATATGTGCAATAAACAAATTATTATAGGACTGCATACTACCTCAATGTCCAGGTATTACACATAATATTAGTTTTCACTTCTCCTAAGCCTCTTATATACTAGTGCATATTAACCGAAGAACCATGCTGGACAGCAAACCGTTATACTTTAACCAGTCAAATTCTTATTTTTATTTCCTCCCCTGTTATTGTATTATTTGAATCAGAATTCCATATGGAAGCGACGAACCAACACCTTCGCACACATAGGTTAGTTAGGTGATTTTGCAGCTCAATAAAGCACTGTCTCCAGTTACTACAGCTTTAGTCACACACCTCAGAGAGATTGTAGAGATGGACATCATCTATCTATATAACCTCTAAACGAAATGAATTTTGCAGGGATCCTGTGACGCTGTTGAATATCAATGGCATTTCTGCATCATTGCGTCAAAATTGCCATTGAAAGAAACAACAAACGGACACTGCTCATTAGGCGGCATGTTAACAATAGAGACTGATACAGTAATCTGAAGGTTTGCTGATGGAAGTCGCTTAGATGCCACCATGTCTGTTAGAATATTCAAACCATGTGCCTAGTAATTAACACTTGAAAACATACATCGAATTCAAAGGTGAACGTCTGAGTGATATTGTTTTTCGGGGATTACTGTATGCTTTTGTGAAGATTCAAGTGGACAGTACATAACTCACTCATCATTCAGACAACACAAACGTTTTCTAGGTAGAGTCATGTAACCTTACAACATACATTACTGATATCCCTGAAGAATACCTTAATTCTTACACCAAGATGCATTTTAATCTGATCGGATACTAGTTAGCAGCTAGTGTAATGTATCTAGACCTTTGTTTGGTGCAGACTGAATTATATCAGTCACTTGTGCAATGTGGCTACCATTCACGGTGCACTGTGAATTGCTGATACATTGGGTGGTTGGGGGTGATCGGCAGGCATTCTTAATCCTAGGCTAATTGCGGGCCTGAACAGCTCAGTGGTAACGTCTCTGACTGGTGCACCGGGTGACGTGAGTTCGAATCTCAGCAGGAACCGCAGCTCCACCTTGCTGACAAATTCCAACGAGCACGAAACCTAGCTCCAGAGCTCCCGCCTATCGCCTTCAACCATCTTATATATGCACTTTAATTCTCTAGTAATAATATTGTAATGCTGTAGGCGTCTATTCTAGGTATTTAAGCGCAAACATGGAAAGCAGACAAATATCGTTTACCTTGAAAAATCCTGTTATACGGCTATCGGATACGTCGTCATCACGTTGTTTCCCTTTATAAAATGGAAGATTTTGGAAAGGTTGCTCAAACCGGTTAAAATCTGGGACTTCTTCAAGTGCAACTGGATATATCTGAATTCAGGAAAGAAAAAGGCTAATGTAGGACAAGTACACAATATATTTTTCATGCAAATATTTTTAAAAAAATTTGTGATGATTAAAATGACTCTCTCAGTGGTGACTCAACGTATCTCGATTTTTTTGACAAGTGTCAGCTCGCTTGATGCCTAAATATACATACCCTTATCTAATACCTCCAAATATGTAATGCCCTAAATGGAAGTATACCTGCCAGATTGGTGACAGTCCTATATTTATTGGTAAATACCTCATGCGAACGGTTTGCGTGCCGTATTCGCGTTCAACGGCTGAAATACTTTGATTGCAAAGGTTTCATTATCTCTATAGACGGCAGAATCAGTAATAATCTCAGAGCAAAGTAAACCTTGAGGATTTTCTGTGAATAAAAAGGGAACAGACTAGTTAAAACGAATGTGGTGTTCATCTTTTTATGTATGGACACTGATGTGATAATACAGCCCTTCATATCAATGTGAACATTAATTTCTTTCAACTTGAAAAATGTGGAAATCTTGAGATGGAGGAACATGAAGAATCTTCGACAATTCCCAAGAAACTTGATGCTCAGAGGAATGAATCTACAATTCACAGACAAATTCGGCATTAGTTGGAATTATCAGACAATGAAGAAACAGGCAAAAGATCAAAATACAAGTGAACTTCTCGACTCTTTTTCAAGTTAGCGCTGAAGATGAATTAATTCATCCAGCTCAGGGAAGAAACGCCACAGAAATAATTACTCACTTTATTGATATGTTGACCTAAAGGATTTTCCTATGTTCTTCTGCATGAGAAAGTCTCACTTTAATAATTACATCAGAATTTCAAACAGACGAATCTATAATACAATGTTGCTAAGCTTCGTACGTCTGTATGTCACATGAGAAGCTTTGCAATGCAAACGAGTACATTATCGTCCTTTGAAGTAAATACAAGAGTAAGTCAAAGGTACCTAACATCACTGATGATATTCCTAGTTGTGATAGAGTAGATTTACGTCATACTGTGGGGAGCGAGAAGACAGGAATGCGTTGTCCGATAAGAAGACTCTAGAAGACTTGGATTTCACGGGTGATTTATATATCAAAGACTTGCAGGCGAAAACCAACAAACTGGTTGAAGAGGCTAGCAGGGATGACAGGACTCCAGGTGAACATAGAGAAGACGGAGGTGATGAAGACAACCAACCAACGAGAACCACGACAAGCACCAATCACTATCAAGGGCAGAAATTTGAAAGAGGTCATTTCCTTCACTTATCCATGAAGCATCGTTTCAATGGTAGGTAATAGCACAGATGAGGACGTCAGAATCAGAAAGACATGACAGACCATCACTCTAAAATCATTGTGGAAATCTTCTGCGTTGCTCAGCATAAACAGCGAGATTCTCAACACCAATATTAAGTCATTCATTTTTTCTATATGGGTAAGAAACTTGGCCTGTGCGTCAATAAAAGTATTTTTAACAGGTTGCAAACTTTTATCAACACCTGCCTTCTGTGATTCTATACTGGAGATCAAATGGAGGGTGAGAAAGAATCACCAAAAAGGAACTCTTGGGACAAGCCAAACAAGCGCCTACCGCTGAAAAAATATGCAGAAGAAAATGGAGACGGATAGGACACACATTTATGGAACCGTGGAATGACATCGCTCGCTAAGCCCTCTAGTGGAATCTGAATGGAAAACGACGAATGGAGCGTCCGATATGAAACTGAATGACAAGAAACTTACCAATATTGTTTCTACCCAACTTTGATCCTCTTGAGTCTCAATGTCATAGTTTAAGTCTATAAATTCCTTTTGAAACAGTCCTTTGGAATTAATCTAACGGAAATAATAAAGAAACGATGTACAGTACATAAATGTGATGCAAATCACAAATGAAAGAAAAGGTTATAAAATCACGGCAAAGTTTTTTTTCATCCCTGCTTATTTATATCTGATTGAGATCGACCAGCCACATCTTGATAATTTGGCTTCTTGAACGGATGCCAGGATTAATAACCTGAAATTACTTGTCTAGCAGTAGAATCCAGTATGTCCATTTTGTTCTGTTTGAGAGTTATCAGCTGCGTCTATGTACTCCTCATTGAGTGGTAATGACCCAAATGACTGTCAAACTGAGTACCAATAGCTTCAAACACCAAAGAGTTGTGAGTAATTTCAAGTGATATGCGTTGCACAAGAGGTGACTTCTGTTGCCCAGTGGCTTAGTGGATGATTAAAGGGACGGATACTGTGTTTAGGTCTCAGCAGGGACACATCAATTCAGTGGGGAGTAAGTACACCCATTTGATGAAATCCAAACTGGATGAAAAATCATCCCTGAATTCCACTACTAGCCAATAAGAGTCAAATTCATAAAATTATAAGTATCCAGATCGTAGATGTTACGAATTCCCTGAGTCAAATCGAATCAAATTAAATTATTATTAATAATCGATTTCACAGTTTATTTGGTTTTAAAGGTTAGACTACTATTAAGTAGCTAAAAATATTAACAAAAATGTTTTCATGAGTCAGTGTGTCAGTGTGTTTATCCATTACATGTATGTGTGGACACACGTACATAGGAAGGACCCATTGGTCTCTGCAGGTTAGGGCTACAGAACATATCTCAAAGTGGCTGCAACAACAAATAAAATCGCCGGATACAAATGATCCCGGAAACAGATGTCTAGCATCATCCATAGCGAAGCACATTATAGAGACGGATCACAAGATTGATTTCAATAAATTTCACTTTATTTTATGTATAAACCTCTGTTACGTTAATTTCGATTAATTTCCCTGAAGAAATTCGGACCAGATTTCCAAAAGAAACGTTGGAATTACCCATTTCAATCTCGCTAAGATTTTACAAATATAATTTTTTACAAATGTTCACTTTATTTAATTCAATTTTAGATTTTCCCGTCGACTGATTGGACTGAAGTTCTTGTTTTCAGACTGACATATCGGCTTCTTGTGCTGATGTTTCGACGATGTCTGGGCATATAATTAGAAGTTAATTGGAAGATGATGACTAGCAGTGGAATCCAGGATGCGCATTTCGTCCTATCCGGGACTCGTCAACCCGAGACCGAGCACTTCGGTCCAATCAATCGACGGGAAAATCTAAAAGTGAATTATATGATTAATATGACCCGTTGTACAAGAGGTGGCTCTCATGGTCTAGTGGATAACGCACTGGCGTTTGAAACTATGGGCACTGGGTTCGAGCCTCGATGGGAACATCATCATTCACTGCGGAACGCAGGTACACCCAGTTGACGAGTCCCAAATAAGACGAAATGTGCATCCTGAATTCCACTGCTAGTCGCCATCCACCAATTAAAGCTTACTTTATTTTAAAGTTAGCACTCAAGATGTTATCAAGGGAGACAATGATTTCTTCGCAAGTGAATAAGCCATTTAGCACAGAGAACCCAAGAACGACAATAACAACAACAACACACGAAACAACAAACTATACAGAAATCCAATTAAATTATCTGGTTGAAAAATTAATAAAGATGAATACTTATCACATACAAATCTTTCTTTGACTTTTGTTTTCACACTCTTCTTGTTCTTCTTCTTTTTAACTTTTGCTCTACGCTTGGCGAGTTCCATTTGACGTTTTTCTAAGGCAGTCAACTTTTTCTTTGTTTTCTTATTATTTCTTCGCCAACATTTTCTTTTCTGCTTATAATCTAAATAAGTTGGTTGTACTCCATTCCCTTGGGTAGTTTCTTCTGTATATGCGAACGAAGAGGACACAGAAAAAAGAATAAATCATGCTGCTCAGTAAAGCGAAATGCAAATGCAATGTTAGTTTAGATGTCGGTAGCCTTTAAGTTTCCAATAATAATGATTTGCTTTACTCCAAAACAGTACTTATGATACAGTTTGGAATCTCAGTATTTTGTACATTATTGCATCTAATTCAGTCAATATTAGCGAAAACATTAAAAAAATACGTACAGATTGCAGGGTGTAGGTAACTAGAATTGATATAGCAGCGTTTCGGCATTACCAGTGACAACGATGTCAGAAATGTAAAAAAAGGGTACAATAATAATAATAATAATAGCATTAACAGCTAAAATTACAAGATAATTGAAATACTGTCACCATAAATTACATATAGGAGAGAATAAAAGTGCCAATTACTTTGCTAATTACATAGTAAGTTGTAGGTTTCACGCTTAACACTATCTCTATCACATAAAGCGTGGGTTAAATTGGATATCGTTGAGTTTTTGTATTAAGCTGTATGATCATATAATCTTTTATAATGACTTCTGATCGTATTCGATGAGATATGTAAGGAGGGGGGAAGCATAAATAGAGAGGATGCTGATTTTTCTTTTCTATTCCCAGTGGAACATTAGGGCTTCAAGCTAGAGCTTTGAAGTTTCGGTGACGTTAGTGCTTATTTTTGACGGGATAGGCTTGCTAGCCCCGTGCCCAACCTTTCCTCCTTTGCCTGATAGTCAGGCAATATAGATTTAGACCATTTCTCTCCTGAATTCAGATGTCTATCAGTTTATGTAGTAACAAGCTGACTAATTTGCATATCACCTGCCCTACTGACAAACTTTAATACCCTTCTCAAAATAACACGGCACTTTTTGAGTAGCCCAGCAAAAACACTAAGGGGGGTCAATAAAGAACAGCAGGTGAGATGCAAGAGTTATCGAATTGTAAAAGTGGAAGTTGAGTGATTCCTGATTGTCTTACCTTCCAAATGCAGAAAATAAGTTGGGACATCTTCTTAGAAGTCGACATGACACATAGGGTGACCAAAAAACGTCCGAGGATAGAACTACTCCAAGGTATTTAATGCTTGATTTAGTTTCTATTTCAGTACCGTCTATGCTGGGAGCCGACCAGTTCGCATAGATCACGTTAATGCCTGAAGGTGTAATTAACTGTGTGACATTTAGAGGGACTTAAGGTAAGACCACTTGGCCTAGGTATCTGTGTGATTTATACTTAAGC